CTTCTTATATAAGAACCAGCTTACGGGGGGGTTTTGATATTAATATTATTACTAATAATATCCTTAATATCTTTCGAGTATATCCTTCGTACTCGAACAAAGGATATCTTCCCCGCAAGCCTAGACCGTTCTCTTTCGAGTCAGTTCATCTATTACGAGTCAGACAAAGGATACAATGGATTACGATATTACTACGATATCGATATATATTACAATACTATTACGATATCGATCCTTTACAAAGAACAAAGGATATCAACCCGTTCCCTCGGTTCGGTTCTTCCTTTCTTTATTCTTTATTCTTAATCCTTAATCCTTTATCTCAATCCCTTTTTCGATCCGAAGAAGACACAATACGCGCGCTAAGATCCTACCTTACAATCCCACTATTACCTTCTTATTTTTCCCACTGCTTTTCGTGACTTTCGTCCCTTCCGTTTTATAAAAATATGATTCAAATTGGATATAATAGAGTAAGGTACCTTAATATCATGGACGCACTGTATTTAAAAGTCCTTCTATACCATAGTCTGATACCCCTAGTACGGATTGATAGAATTGCAAAGAACCAGCGCCAGAGTAATACCTTATTATCCGTACCATGTGCACTTTAAGGTACGTACCTCTTATCAATCCATAACCCCAATAATAGAAGTTACCCCGCGATTGTTACGGGCCGTCACAAGTGGGAGGAGTAAGGTAATTACGTGCGCCTCAGTTTTGTTACGCGATAATAACGCGACGATAATATCGGTTGCCTAACTAACCGCACCGAACCCAATTGATGATCTTGGACTCGACCGCCCCTACAACACAAGTGTAGGCTTCAGCTACTATCCCTTATACACCTCTAAGTCCAGCGACCTCGATAGCCCAAATCACATTAGATCACGGCAAAACATATCGCTGCTGGTCATGAGCGCCAACAGCAACAGTCAAGATGCGGCCCGACAGCCGCCCCAAGTGCAGCCGTGCAGATACAAGGTCGGGAAGACCCTCGGCGCTGGCTCCTACTCGGTCGTCAAGGAATGCGTTCATATCGACACAGGCCGCTATTATGCTGCCAAAGTTATCAATAAACGCCTTATGGTCGGCCGGGAACACATGGTACAAAGCGCCTCTTCTGCCTTCCCTCTTCGCTCTTGCCCTCTTCCCACTCCCCCCCCCCCCTTTTCTTCCACCTTCACCCTGAGTGGCAGCTGATAGCGCGAGTCTTGGTGATGTAGGTCCGTAACGAAATTGCCGTCCTAAAGAAGGTTTCCATGGGCCACCAAAATATCCTGACCCTGGTCGATTACTTCGAGACCATGAATAACCTGTACCTTGTGACCGACCTTGCCCTCGGTGGCGAGCTCTTCGATCGTATTTGCCGGAAAGGCTCATATTACGAGTCCGATGCCGCCGATCTCATCAGAGCGACGCTCTCGGCTGTTTCTTATCTCCACGACCATGGCATTGTCCACCGCGACCTAAAGCCGGAGAACCTGCTCTTCCGGACGCCAGAAGACAACGCCGACCTCCTTATTGCTGATTTCGGGCTCAGTCGCATCATGGACGAGGAACAGTTCCATGTCCTTACCACCACTTGCGGCACCCCTGGCTATATGGCCCCGGAGATTTTCAAGAAGACCGGGCACGGAAAACCCGTCGATATCTGGGCCCTGGGCGTCATCACATATTTCCTTCTTTGCGGTTACACTCCTTTCGACCGTGATTCGGACTTGGAAGAAATGCAGGCCATTCTCAAGGCCGAGTATGACTTTCGGCCTTCCGAATATTGGCGAGGCGTCTCCGACCATGCCAAAGACTTCATCCGACGCTGTCTTACAGTCGACCCCACCAAGCGCCCTACCGCCCACGAAGCGCTCCACCACCCCTTCGTGGCAGGCTGGCTCTCCGGTACCGACCAGCCCGGAAACAACCTGCTCCCTACCGTCAAAAAGAACTTCAATGCTCGCCGCACCCTTCATGCCGCCATCGATACTGTCCGTGCCATCAATAAGTTGCGCGAGGGCCAAAACCAAAACCACCTCATGTCCGGCTCCACTTCACGCGAGCCGATGCGAGGGGCCCCGCCGCAGCCGTCGGCCAAGGGTGTAGGAAGTAAAGAAGACAGCGCCATCAGCATGGGAGCAGAATCACTCCAGGGCAAAGATTCCGGGTATGCCACGCAGGGGGAGGCCCCAGATGTCACCATGGTCGATGCTGCGTCGACACCGGACAATGTTCCTGCGTCCTTGCAGCCGGGTAACCCGGTAAATCGCCTTGTAGAGACGACCAAGGGACTCTGGACCCCGCCTCGGCGATAACTGAACCGGCACAACGTCTCGCTCATCACCACGGTCACGCGTGGAGGTACAGTGGAAAGGGGATGATAGATGGGTTGTCTGGCGCGCCTGGAAAGACTAGAAGGGGCCTGTGGAAGGATGCGGCCTCGGAATCTCACGCAATAGCCCCTCGAACGAAACGATCCTCAGGAACCTCTGGAACCTTTGATTTGGGATACCCCCGTCAGTTCGACATTTTGAAGATCGCCATGAGCTGTAACAGAGACAAATTTGGAAATCTTCCACTACCCGACACTCTGGTCAACCCCCTCTCCATCCGGGACAGGAGCAGGAACAGGCCGTGGTGCATCCAGCTTCAGTTTCAGCCGTGCTACCGAGCTCATTCTGAACACCTCCTTGGCTGTGGCGCCATACGCTTGCCCACGCGCAGCCTTCCTTCTGCTTACCTTGGTCAGCTCTTATGGGAGGCATGTCAATCTCCTTCGGCTATGGATGGACCTACGGCTATCATCATCTGGGATCTCTCCAGCGTACTGAGGAATGTTGCGGCTGATTCAAGCACATGTACTGCCAGTATAGGCATGCTCGTTTCTTCAAATCTTACCACCGGTGCTACCATTGCGCTATTGCGCTAGGTGTGTTCCGTGATTGATTCCGCGCATCGAATTCTTCGAACCCTTCAAGATCCTTGCATTGGGTAGTACATCGCACAACTGAAATGGGTACAATTTCCAACAAGAATGTGCTGGACGCTTTGCATCGGAACAGTTGGACGAAGCACATGATTTCATATTCTGTCCCTGGAGTTGTGCACTTTCGTGCTCAGCCGCTCAAGTTCGAGACTCAGCTAGCGCCGTATCACATGTATCTCACGGCACTACGCATCGTAGAGACCCCTTGTGCGGCAGGGCTTTTTGGGCTAGGAGTTAAGATCTCATGATCTTGTCATCCGACAAGCTGGTTGGCATAGGGATTTCAAACACGCTCGTGGTAGGAGGTCTGGCAACCGTCCATCGCCTTACAGGATCATCGGTACCAACAATCCTACACGCCGGACCGTCACTTCAAGTATTATATATATTATGGGGGACAGGAGCCCTTCCTTGAAATTTAGAATGCCTTCTTTCGAGACGTGTCTTTCTTGTGGAGAACTAGGCGAGCTCTTCTCCCACGCAGCCTACGTCACACGCAGAGTGGGATGCTTGAGAAGGATCCTGAGTTTCAGGAAGCCATTGTACTCCAAAGACCGTGATTGCCCCATATCTCTTTTCCACTCAAGACAACGAACGGCAATGGGCTCGGTTTGTCTTTTTCCGTTTCCTTTTCTGTTTAATTTATTATGTTTTTATTATGTTTCATACGAGGACTGGGAAGAAGTGGGCTTGATGTGAATACACCCCGTGCTATTCCTCCGCCTCCTGATGTGCCCGTGTGGTTGCAAGTTAAGGCGGATTATGTAATACCGTTCACCGACCAAGATTCACATGTCAGGTTTCCTGTGTCGTCCCACAGGTGCTGGTAGATGGTTGTCTTCTCAAAAAGACGGCCCATTCTCTCCAGAATGCACGTTCACAGAAAAAGCCACTTCCTCGCTTGTTTCTAGACGTCTAGTGTCATTTTTAGGGCAAAAATTCAGTGCCTGGGGTGCTCTGCGGCGACGGCGTTGGACTTTCTTAGCTCTGGACCCTCACCTCGGTGAGCCAACGGGCCGGACCGAGGCATTCATATGTATCTTCAACCAACAGCTGAACCTGGAGAAGACATCTGTACTTTATCTTCACATAACCATTCATTCCATGCAGCTTTGGTCAATTCTTCCTTGATCATAGCCATCCTTCAGTTTCTGTGGTCATTAAGACTCGATATATTACATTGTCTTCACCGCCGACGATCGATCTTAGCGTGTAATTTCCAATACCAGTAACCACTTAACATGTCGACCTCAACCGCACTCTTCGAGATTCCTATCTCGCCCATCGACAACCACCCAGGAGGCTCCATCGTCTGCACTACACCACGGCCCCGTGTCTACCTTCTCACCTTCTCATCCCCGCCCGACAACCGCCTTACCACGCCCTTTTGCCATGCCTTCCTCTCGGCCCTCGACGTCATCGAGCACGCCCACCCGCACGGTGTCGTGATCACCACCTCGGCCATCTCCAAGTTCTACTCCAACGGCCTGGACCTCGCCCACGCAACCGAGGCCGAGAACTTCTGGTCCGGCGCCCTCTACCCTCTCTTCCGCCGCCTGCTCACCTACCCCCTTCCCACCGTCGCCCTGATCAACGGCCACGCCTTCGCCGGCGGCCTCATGACGGCCATGCACCACGACTACCGCGTCATGAACCCATCGCGCGGCTTCGTCTGCATGAACGAGGTCATCTTCGGCGCCCCGCTGAAACCCCCTATGGCGGCCATCTTCCGCGCGAAATGCGACGCCGCCACCTTCCGCGACGTCGTGCTCGAGGGGAAGCGCTACGGCGGTCCTGCGGCTCGCGATGCCGGCCTCGTGGATGCCGTGGGAGGACTCGATGAGGCGCTGGACCTGATTCAGTCCCGTAACCTCGTCGACATGGCCAAGTCCGGCGTCTATGGCCTGCTGAAGATGGAGATGTGGCGGGAGTTGTTGGCCTTGCTTGAGACAACGCCCGAGGGTCACGCAGTGCAGGAGGCGGACTGGTCGAGGAGGGCACAAGAGGAGGACCAGAGGGCCGAGAAGGGGAAACGATTTGTGGAGAAGTGGCAGAAGGCCAGTAAAGCGAAGTTGTGAAATGTTCATTCTCTTTTCGTTCCTTTTTTTCTTTTCTTTTATTACCTCCATGGTCGACAGGCAACATAATGAGCAATCCTGTTGTTGCCCGTAGTTCCCTACGCCACCACCAAGCCAATAGAGGCCCTGAAGGACATGCGAACACTCTTTATAATACACCAACGAGTCACTGGAGTAGTTGTACTCTTTGCACTGCCGGAAGAGCATCAAGTGACACTATTGTCTTGTAGTGGACACACTCTGGAAGACCCAGGCCATCAATATGACAGTGAAAATGATTCTAAGTTCGTCTAATCGTGAGAGACCCTCAACGTATGGTGACTACCTAACAAGACATGGGTGCGGGTGCTTCCATGTGCATCCCAACCCATGGGAGAACCCATTCGCTCGCTGACCTCGAAGAGGAGGACAAAGCAAAGGAAAAAAGAAACCGGTCCTAACCTCCCGAACGCCAGCGAAAATCCATCCGTGATTCCTGTCCCAAACATGTCAACCTTATGTGTCTCTGTGATGCTTCTGAATGCTGTATGTTCCTATGCGCCCTGCTATCTCGCTGTCGCTTCTGCTGATGTTGCCTGATCGTGTTTCCCGTCGACTTCCTCACCCCGGGTTCATGTCCTTCACCATGCGAAGTAGTCATAGATGGTGCCCCCTGTAGCCCCTAGAAACAGTTTCTAGAGCTAGATTCCTCCACATAATACGTGCGTAATAACGATCAGATACCGGAAACGGGCTTTAGTCTTAAAAATCGTGAAGCACTTCAAGTTAGTGTTCCAATGGAGTTGACCCCATCGTACTGGGCAGTGACGTGAAGATATGCGCGCTAGCAACGATAAAATGCGACTGGCCCATGCCAGTCAACGCCCCACGGTCTTTGTGTTTTAGGGCTCGTGTGCGTCAACCAAGGTTTCGTTTCGTGTGTTTTTATGCGTTCATATTTCGCCAGTGTCTTGCCGTTTCATGCCTGGCGACTGCCACTGGCTGCAGATGTGGGGGACGGCGATTTCAAGTGCACATTGAACTCCCAACGACCTAAACTCTGTTAGACGCCTGACGAGGAACAAGTGAGCAAGGGGAGGACGAGTGGGAACATACCGTTTGCTAGATTCTCTGCCGTGTCGTCCAGAAGAATAATCCGTCTCTTGTTGCAGTATGAAGTCTTGTCCATGATGACCACCTTGAGCTTGCGATCACACAATTCTTGTACGGGCTTTTCGAACATTTCGGACAGTGCCTCTACGGCCATTTCCAGATCCTTTTGGTTGTCCTCGAAAATCTCGGTCAGGTTGTTGCGAGCGAGATAGAAGGCAAATGCGTATGTCCATTTGAGGGTCTGCCGGCACATCTGCAAGGTCTGTGATGCGGCGTTGAGATATTGCACCTCAATCCAGGACATACCCGACTCTCTTTGCAGCTCGACCATCTTCCTTTCCGTCTTCTGGTAGATGTCCTTGTCGAGTTTGGCAGACTGCTCGTGGTTCGCGTACCGGTTGTAGTAGTGCAGGTAGCGCTCCAATGACATGCGCGACTTGGCCTGCGCGTCCCTGGCATCTGTGCCACTCTTCTCCTCGAAACGGTTGCAGTTGTACCAGCTGGTTCCGTGCTCAGACCAAAGACCCATACACATCCAGCAGAACTCGTGCTTGCACTTGCGGCAGGTCATGTGGTTACAACCGCCGTTCTTCTCGATGGTGCTGTTGCATCTCGGGCATTCCTTGGTATTGGCCGAAATCCAGTTGGCCGTCTCCGAGTCGTCCGCGCATTTCTTCAGCCATTTCTTCACCAACTCGCAGGGCGCTGGCTGGTGGTCATTGAGTATGCAGCCGAAGCAGAAGCGGTGCCCGCAAAGACAGGCTACAGTCGGGACTACTTTATCCAAGTCCTTCTTCTTGACGCCACATTCGACGGCATTCTGACAGTCGGGAGCAGGACACCATTTGAGAGTATCCTTGTCTTCCACGTAGGTCCTATTGAGCAGTTCTCTATACCGATCAGCTAGGTCCGGGGTCACGAGAAGGTCGAGAGACTTGGTGTCTATGATGCGGCCACAGCCTTCGGCGGGGCACTGAATGCGAGCGGCCTCGCCTTCCTCGCGGACCTTCTGCGTCAGATAGTGCCGGTAACAATGCACACAATAGCGATGACCGCACTTCATGGCGAATGTTTCCAAGCCTTCTTCGTCCTCGCAGCAGATGTCACAGACAAAGCCGGGTACCGGCTCCAATTTCGGAGCGGTATTAACATCGGTACCGAGGCCCGCTGCCTCGAGCACCTTAGCTCGCCTGTCCATGAGGTCCTCAATCAGCTTTTCCTTGTTCCAGCGGAAATGGCGCAGCAAGATGGCGGCATCCTCTTTGTTGATGTCAAGGATCATGTTGACTTCGTTGACCATGTCATCCTGTTGACGTTGTATGTCTGCCGGCTCGTAGACTTGAAAAGAAACGTCATAGGCAACCTTCTTCTTACTGCCGGAGTCTTTCAATACGCCAAAATCGGGATCGGGCTCGTCGTCAAAGTCGTCATCAAAATCTGGGATCAATTCAGGTTACAGACTATTCCACATAACAGATTCAACATGTGAAGGGGTACGAAGGGGCTCATCTATGCACATCCGCGAAGAGTTGACGTGGGTAAAGCCAGATAAGGATAGATGAGCAGAGATGAAGGTCAAAGGAACGTAAAGTCAGACTTTGAATAGACGAACAAAATCACTAACCTTCTTCGCCAGAGAAATCCTGCATATCCGCGTCGCTAGACATGGCGGACATGAAATCTTCCTCGGAATCCATAGTGTTGCTCGTGGTGGTGACAGGTGTAGGCGGAGCTTTGGATTTGGCAGCTGAAGCGACTCGTTTGTTGGGTAGAGCTTCCGTAGGCTGGGAAGAAATCGACGCCTCAGCTGCCTTTCGTTTCCTGGTCGTGGGAGGAATGGCGGCGGTATTTGGTAGATGGAAGGGAGATGGAAGGGATGGATGAAGTTCTCCGGAAGTACAAGGTGCTTGCTTTTACCAAGGCGGATTCTCGGGTACCTTAAGGAAGGGGATTATTTTAGAGGCGAGCGACGTCAAGGCATGCGAGAAAGGTGAAATGCTGGGTGAATGCTGGATGAATTCTGGTTGAATGCGGGAGAATTAAGGAGTCCGCTTGGTCAAAAATGGCGGTGACGAGTCTAAAGCAAAAGGGTTCCGCTGAATAGGATGGATGACTCGAGGTGACGAGGGGCAGGTCTGGAGGTATAAGAGGCCAGGCCCCGGAACGATCCGGACGGGTCAACCTGGGATGGGAGGCGACGGTTGCGTTGGTTATGTAGAAGCTCAAGATTAGTCTTACGAAATGTGCACCGAGCCAGAGGGAAGAAATCGTTTGAACGGGGGGCGGAAGTCGTCGTTGCCGTTGATCCTTGATAAGGCGCACGACCGTTGAGGGGGAGGATGGTGCATGATACTGGGCACGAGTGTGGCAATATAAGTGTAAACGTGTAAATACACCTCTACCGGGGTTTAGTAGGCTAGCGCGTGTACCAACTAATATGACTGGCTAGTGACCATAGGATCTACACTGGTAGCAGTACAGATAAACATATAATAGCTATACTAATTTCTAAGTATACATACTAAAAAAAAAATTTCTTTTACTATACTACTATTATAACTATCACGGCTCTAGTAATTAGTATCTCCTTTATCTATCTTAATAACCGGATATAGGCAGGGGGGATTATACGGATTATCGACTCTAGGAAATTAGGATTAACTACTTCCTAGGCAATACTAACCTACTAAACCCTGGTAGAGGTATATAACTAGCTAAGTGACTATCTATAATCTATATAGCTATAGCTAATAGCATAAGGTACTAACTTATTATATAGCCCGTGTATATAAGCGATTCTGTATAGGTCTAGTTACCCTTATATAGGTGACTATATCCATAACAAGGCCTGACTACCTTAGGACGGGAGTGGAGTTTGCTATCGGATTTACCTCGGATAAGGTCGTTCTAGACGGAGTATACCTTAGGTAGCCAAGGTAACAAAGTATTGCCTCCAAATCTCCAAATCAGTACTTCCAAGGTACCAAGTTGTGACGGATATCAGTATGTTAACGAAGTATGTTTGTGTTGATATTAGTATTGAGGTACCTTTGAATTCCGGTGTGCAAGGTACCCTTACTAAACCTAACGGCGTTTCCAGAGATGGCTGCGTTTTTCAGTCTTGATCACCGTGATATCACTGCAGCGACATCTCTGTTGTGGATCACCCAGTATTCTAATCAACTCTTTTAGTCGACTCGCTGAATGTCTTCAGGTTTGCAAGGCGAGGTGGCATAAACCCTCTTCCGAATCGGGCAGCAATGCCTTAGTAGTGCAGGCCATAGCAGCACACACTCGCCGTTCCTCTTTAAATTCTTTAGAGATTCCATGTTAATTAAGGTATGGACACTACAATATGTACCACGTGGCGTCAGCCCGAACGGGGAACAACCCAGGGATCTGGTGCCAATGGGCGGTACGTAAGCAGCCTGGTCCAAGAACTTCATAAACATGACTCTGTACACCTTCGGGCGCAAGCCGTTCACGCCTTCTCAAAATACCGCTGCGCTACTTTGAGAACGCATGTGGTCCGCCGGTTCTGGCATCAGGGGGATATGTCGCCATCCCCTCAACCCAACACCTTATCAGCCATGGAGACTATCAAGGTGAATTAGCTAGCAAATTTTTACAGGGGGGTTAGGGTAAGAGATGGCGCGTCGTACCCGAAGTGCCTGTGTTATCGGGTTCGACATGGGCAGATTTGACCTTGCCGTCCTCAACGACAAGTGCATAGCGCTTGCCGCGGACACCGCCAAAGATGGCGGTCCCGTCAAAATCGAGGTCCAAAGCTTTGGTAAAAGCGGCAGAGGGATCGCCCAAGAAACGAATCTAATTACAAGTCAGCTGGTCTCAACCATCCGTACGAACCTGTCCCATCCGGGATGGGGATTGCAGATGAATAACGGAGATGATACGTACACCGGTCTGCTGGGCGGGATCCAGTTGATCTCCCCAAGCCTTCATACTACATATAAATGCGACGAGGTTAGTTCTATCATTGACCACACGATGCCATGAACTTGCATCCAGAACCGCAATAATAGAGCACGTACACAAACGGGTCGTTGACGGAAACGACAAAGACGGAACCGGCATCCTGGAGCTTAGGATGGTTGATGTACGAAGGGATGTGGCTGGATGAACAGACACCCGAGAAGGCGGCAGGCACGCCAATAATGATGCCGTTCTTGGACCGGAACTCGTCGGCCAGGTTTACTTTGTTTGCTGGTGAGTTCTCAACCAGAACCGGCAGGTCGGGAATCTCCTGGCCGACCTTGACGAACGCTCGTGGCGTCGAATGGAACCTCCTAGTGGCGGCACTGACAGAGGGATGAGCCAATGCTGAACGTCGGGCGGTAATGCGGAACGCCATCGTAATGGTGTAGTCAAATGAAGATGTGGGAATATGTTTTGCTGACGATTGTCTGAGGATTCACTCTCGACGACGTTCTCCTCTATCCTGTAATTACCTTAGGTAAGGTAGCTATCAACGATTAATTACAACGTATCACCAAGCACCCTGGGATGGCTGGGTCGCCCAAGTAATTAAGTGGCCAATAGGCCTCCGAGCCAAGCCTAGGGAGATGACATCACATCTGTCTCACTAAATTGTGGCTACCTTATGAGGGAGGGCCGCCGTGTGACATTGTGTGGCTAGTGGTGGCGCAGTTCAACGGAAGTTTTGGTACTCGTTTCGACGACCTGAACTCCGAAAACGTGTTTTCGTGGCGGCCAGAGACATTATGGTATTATGTTTTTAGGAAGCGACGCGCATGGCTTCTACGTCGTATGTAGGCATGCCGCGCCTGTATGTACGGACAGGGTAGGTACTCACAACATCCACAAGCCCCGGGTGGAAGCGAATATACGGAGGAGAAGATGGTACGGAGTAAAAAGCCTCGGTCTCGAGGTCGGCTCCGAGACCTCGAGGCATCGCTTAATTAGTATCCCGGAACGAGAAAGTCATTACAGGGGTCCAAGTTGATGCCCGGTAAATGTAAATCCGGGAATTGATACTGATCTCTCTGATCTTTCCATACCCGTGGTCGTGGCTTTTGGCGAACTATTACCTCTATAATATTGGTGCCCAGTAAGCTGGCTGAGCTTGTTAAGATTGGGAAATCGTTGGTTGTTGCCGCCCGCTCAGACAGTAAGGTAATTACTCAGTATTACTCCGCTACCGACCAACACTTCGACCGTACGTGCAACTCAACTACTAATTACCCGTCTGACCGCAACGGCACCCTGCAGCAATGACAGGAACGGCATTATGCCGAACTCTTGAAAACAAGCCAGAGGGGCACAGAGATGGGTTTGTCAACGTCTTAGTATGCTTACCTGGCCGAAGCCTTATGAGTCCAGTAGACTGTCATACGAGCTGGTTACGCTGCCGATAAGCTTACATACACGTGTAGTTGTCGATGGATCGTCGACAGGCAATGACTGGAGATCGAGAGGTCAGGCTAAATACACGAATCATGCTGGAACATCGGCATTCGGATGTAAACGAACCCACCACCATGACATCCGAAGAAAGGATCAGCACCCCTTTGAACAAGCGGTGAGATGATGACTGGCGCGAATGAATCCCTCCTTGGGGTTTTGGTCGGGAGCTTGAGGAGGCCTTATTAGGGTCGCTCTGAGTGTGTGGTATTTGTCTGGACGCCCTTGCCATGGCCACATGGTTCGTGCAGCTGACAGACCGTGCTGAACAGTGAGTAGGGTGAAGGACATCCAATGGTGCCTGTTCAGAGCCGCCGGGCGTAATTGAATTGACATATACCTGAACAAATCAAACGTTGAAGGGGACACAGTTGGGAGTGACAGAGAAACGTCATATGGGAGCTCACGACTTCAACGTAATACGAATGGTAACAAGGATTCTAGGTGAGGGTGTTCTGGCGGCAAGTGCCGTTTAGTGCATGTAGCACGAGCCTTCCCGGCCTTTGTCGCCTTTCCTTCAGCTCGGACCCAAGGGAAGGGCGGATCACGGAGCTACGGCCGTCTACATATATGACTTCGAGGAAACCATGTCCCCTGCAGTACGAGGTAAACTGACCTTACGAACAGATTTGTCATGATTCTTAATTCGAGCGATGTATCCATACTCCAAACAAGAACTTGAACAATAATGCTTTTGGGGTCATGAACGAATATGTTATCAGCTTCATTGCCTCAGAGTTGATTATGGTGGGGGTTAGTTGTTAGCACGAAGTACACATCAATATTAACCATAGCGCTATGTTAAAATGTTCGTCATTGGGCTGTTCTGGTCACTGGGGAAATGCGATTGAAGAGAGGAGCTTATTTTAATAAGTCAGCTACTGATTGGACAATAGACTTATAGACCCTGTTAACTTTGCCCTCACTAATGATTACCTTATACCTTAGGTACCTTATATTGTTGGCTCGTGTTTCTGCCCATGTTATACGTTGGTCGAGGATGTACCTACTGTAGGTAGATAATGCGAGAAGCGCTCAACATGTATGTGGGTGTGGCAATGGCAGGAGTCCTCTCGAACGATATCCCACAGAGGTAATGTTCGTGCGTTTGACCTCGAGATATCTATGTATATGGGGTTTACAGTTCTTCATAGATGATCGTAAGGGCAAAAATGAAACCATTCTGTACTGGCCTCATCTGAAGACTACCTTAAGGTAGTCAACGTACCTAACTAAACCTACCTTACCTTACACTCTGTACGTACCTACCTGTACTGCTGAGAGATTCATTTTGGTAAGTTCATGAGGATCATCCCACCAATAAAGTATTTAACAGGCATTTTTATACGGGAGGCAAGATATCAGGTACTTCGTACAGATAAATGCTATGGTAACTGACTATAAAACGGCAACTAACCGTACGAAGTCTAACGATGATTCACACCCCTGCGCGTTCCCCTGACGCCTGTGACCTGCAGCAAACTCTGTGCTCTGAACCAACCCACATTGTCGGAAACAAGATATTACCTGGAGGGCTCATTTTGTACTTCGTACGAAACACGGAGTACATGTACGAAGTATATTTCTTGACCGAGAGGGTCTCGCAGATATGTTGGAGCTTATCTCTGGGCGGAGGCTCTTTCTTATTAAGTTGATATCCGTGTTTCCATCGTAATCAGACACCGGGCACTCAAGGTAAGAGATTACTAAGTGTACTAAGGTACCACCAGCATGTGAAACGTCCAAGCCCGGCACAAGAGAGATAATGAACAACTTGGAGTACGAAGTATTAATGGCTCTGACGCTTCAACCTTACCCTTCTCCCAACGTCTCTTGCCCCGCCTGCGAAGTATGTACCCCGTCGAGATCATAATTAGAACCCCGTCCCCAGACACGTCAACACTTCAGCCGTGGTTTCCCCTCCCAGACGCACACCGCTAGTGCCACCACATGAGAGTTACTCCACACAGGACGGCCTTGGAAAAGGGCCGAGGAGGTCAGTGCAAAAACGTTTATTCTCCACATCTACCCTGGCAAGGCACCGTGCCCCTTTTCCGCAAGTGGGCACCCACACTCTTCAGACCAGAGCCAAGACTAACCTCTTCCCCTCTAAGCCTAATCCGTGTTACATGGAATCTCCTGGATGCTGTACCTAGCTCCAAGGGGGAGGATGATTTCCTCTGGCTACATCTGTTGACTTCAACTACAGACACGTACGTATGTACGTGAAGTATCACGGAGTATTATTACGTGCTTGCCTACCAACACCATCTCATCTAAAAATGCTGCACCATGAGCCAACCCCTATGCAAGCTAAATGCACGGGACCCGGACATCTGTTAGTCGACCGTGATACACCGGCAATCAGTAAGAACGTAATTACGTACGTATGTACCAGCGTCCTAGGTAGGTGGGTGGGTTATAGTACCCCGTAATGTCGTTGACGACCTCAATCATGACCTAACGGTCCATTGAATAACAGTAATGACAGATATCATGCCCCAACTCGTATGGAGAGAGGTATAAAGGATTATGCCCGCTTATGAGGTTGATATCAACCCAGACCTAGACGCAGAAGGTTAAGAGCTACCGCTACACACACAAAATCGGTTGACCTAAAAAGAATACAAAATAAGTTCGATGATGTTGTAATATCCGGATTATGCTATAAGGTAAGGTAAGGTAAGGTAGAGAAGGAGGGCGAAGAGAAACAGGCATTAATATTTGAGGTGGTGGAAGAAATCTGGGACATATTCGGTACGTATACTGAGTACCTCACATTGTACAGACGTAACCGCACTTCGCAGACACGACTACTTACAATTCCAGGTTGTCTACCTACTATTTATGTGTATTGAAGTACATATACTCATTATACCCCTGATTTTATTAACCAGTCAGAAGAGTTGGTTTACCCGCTAACGTTACAAAGCCTGGTAGAGGTGTCCATTATACCTGTTCTAGGTAAGGTATGGGGAGGATTTTAGAGTGGCGTTTTCTTCCTTTGTACTTACCCTCCCCGTAGTTATCAGGTACTGGATGTACCTCGTGCTGCACGTGTATCCGTGTCAGCCTCGTGCGTGTAGTGCCGCAATACCCGCAAGACGTTTCTGTGCCTGAGAGTTGTGCTGCATATGTGGTAAGTATAGAGTACCTCAAGCGGGCCCCGTATGTACTGTACGTACCCACCTCCACGAACCGGATAGTGGAGTCTGGTGCATCCCACGTCTCCTCGCGTTTTCCCCTGTCTCGTCCCTTTTCGCCCTCAATTGCTCTTTGCATACCACCACCACTTCTCTTCCTCTTAAATTACTCTTTTCAATCACATCCTGGGGTTCTCGTCGTCTCGAGTCACATTCCACTAACCCTGGTCCCGTCACACAAGTTCTCCTTTGAAGTCCCTCACCTACAACAACGCCTTGCCCTATCCATCCTTCCTGTCCAACAGCCCCCGTCTTCCATCGATTCTTTTTACGCCCGTTTGCTTCATTTCTCGGAGCGCTCTTCCTTCCTCCCCATTCTGTGGTTATTACCCCTTCCGCGGCAGACAAGACTTGGGTATCGGACGATCCAAACGACGCCCTTTACGCACGCACATTCCAAACTGTCGGTGTCTGATATCGGGTCACTCTGCTTCCGCTGATCTAACGCTGCGCCCTGTCGAAGCCATCCTGTCGCGTTTGCTGCCCCCACCTTTGCCCAATTACCGACACAGCCTGATCGCTTCCCAAGGCCAAGGGCTTATCGCGCTTTCGAGTCCGCTCTATAACGCTCGTCGAGTGCCCGACCGATTTCGTCGCCTGCCTCCTAGGGCGTCGCCGCACCTCCGCGCAATCAGCCGAATCCATCGAACACAGAGCGCACAAAGAGTTGCCTGTGTCACCGAGAAATTGGCCTCACGCCGTGTCTCAAGAATCGCAAAATTTACTACCCATTGTGCGAAGCGTCTCGTTAAGATTCACAACCCGAGAGATACGCGAGGAGCACAAGCATTTCACCCTCGTCTGCGAGTTCCTTTAAACCGCCCTGACGACGACTCGAATCCCCGTGCTGTCCCAGGGGCTCTCGGATGATACCCCGCGACCACGCACTTCACCCTGACATTTAGCGTCTGCCATCATGTCTGTGATGTTGCAGGCCCCGTCCCGAGCCTCCTCCGCGTCATCATCTTCCTTCCAGCCCATTTCGCGCCAGAACACCATGTCGTCCTACGATGGCTCGCGGTCCGCCCGCCAGTCCAAGCGGTACTCCATGTCCGCCCTGTACATGTCCATGTCGGCCAACGACAAGGAGCTCGAAATAGAAGATGATCTTGCCAAAGGTTCGCAGGCCCCGTCACATAAATATCTATGCTCTGCATTTCATAGCTGACATGCACGTCTCTAGCTCAAAAGATCCTACGCGAGCTCAAATCCAAAATCTCTTCCCAATCTAAGAAAAATTTCGTTTTGGAGAAGGACGTCCGCTACCTTGACTCGCGAATCGCTCTCCTGATTCAGAACCGAATGGCTCTAGAAGAACAGAACGAAGTCGCTAGCCATTTGGAAGATGCCGCCGACATGCAGGAAGGGGCATTCCCAAACGATGATAAGACCCAAAAATACGGCAATCTCTTGTTCCTGCTCCAGTCCGAACCGAGACACATCGCCCACCTGTGTAGGCTCGTGTCTATGTCCGAGATTGATTCGCTGCTACAGACAGTCATGTTCACCATTTACGGAAACCAGTACGAAAGCCGAGAGGAGCACTTGCTTCTTACGATGTTCCAGGTTTGTTGATATGCCCATGTTCTCGGCCCTGCGCCTTCGCTTTCGCCTTGGCCTTGGCTTGCTATGATGCTGATCTCTGTTCACAGTCCGTCCTCACCTACCAGTTTGACAACACTCCCGAGTACTCCTCTCTGCTGCGCGCGAACACGCCTGTTTCCCGCATGATGACGACGTACACGCGGCGAGGACCTGGGCAGAGCTTTCTAAAGTCGGTCCTTGCCGATAGAATCAACAGTCTCATTGAGCTCAAGGACCTCGATTTGGAGATCAACCCTCTAAAAGTGTATGAGCGCATGATCGAGCAGATTGAAGAAGACACAGGCACCCTACCTCCCTCCATGCCCAAAGGAATCACCGCCGAACAGGCGGCCGAAAACCCACAGGTGCAGGCCATTATCGAGCCACGTTTGACGATGCTCACCGAGATTGCCAACGGCTTCCTATCCACTATCATCGACGGACTTGAGGAGGCGCCTTACGGCATTCGGTGGATCTGCAAACAGATCCGAAGCCTGACCAAGCGCAAGTACCCTGACGCCAACGACCAAGTCATCTGCACTCTCATCGGCGGGTTCTTCTTCTTGCGCTTCATTAATCCGGCCATCGTCACCCCCAAGTCGTACATGCTCATCGACGGTCAGCCGGCGGAGCGGCCTAGGAGAACCTTGACCTACATTGCGAAAATGCTCCAGAACCTAGCCAATAAGCCTTCCTATGCCAAGGAGCCGTACATGGCGAAACTCCAGCCGTTTATCCACCAGAATAAGGACAGGGTTAACAAGTTCATGCTCGACCTGTGCGAAGTGCAGGATTTCTACGAGAGCCTGGAGATGGACAACTACGTGGCCCTATCGAAGAAGGATCTTGAGCTTTCCATTACACTCAATGAAATCTACGCAATGCATGCGTTGATCGAGAAGCATCAATCAGAGCTTTGCAAGGATGAAGGGTCGCACTTGGCTATCATCATGAACGAGCTGTCCACCGCGCCGCCTCAAGTTCCACGAAAGGAGAACCGGGTAATTAATCTTCCCCTGTTCAGCCGCTGGGAAACGGCAATTGATGATCTCACCGCCGCGCTTGACATCACGCAAGAAGAGGTATACTTTATGGAAGCCAAGTCCATCTTCGTGCAGATGATGCGGTCGATCCCCGCCAATAGTCATGTTGCTCGTCGGCCCTTGCGCCTCGAGAGAGTCGCGGATGCTGCGGCCACCAGCCGCAACGATGCCGTCATGGTACGCAAGGGCATCCGCGCCATGGAGCTGCTTTCCCAGCTGCAGGAACTCAGGGTGATAGACAAAAGCGATCATTTCAGCCTGCTTCGTGACGAAGTCGAACAAGAACTCCAGCATCTGGGCTCGCTCAAAGATGCGGTCATCCGGGAAACAGAGAAACTCGAGGAGGTTTATAAGACCATCCGTGACCATAACACGTACCTCAATGGACAGCTGGAGACGTACAAGAGCTACCTGCACAATGTCCGGTCTCAAAGCGAAGGGACGAAGAGAAAACAGCAGAAACATCAAGTTTTGGGCCCGTACAAGTTCACGCACCAACAGCTGGAGAAAGAGGGTGTCATCCAAAAGAGCAATGTCCCCGACAACAGAAGGGCAAACATCTATTTCAACTTTACAAGCCCCTTGCCGGGGACTTTCGTCATTTCACTACATTACAAGGGTAAGGACCTTCGACCCATTCTTCTCTTAACACCGAGTACTGACGCCCGGATGCAGGACGGAACAAAGGTCTTCTTGAGCTTGACCTCAAGCTGGATGACCTTCTTGAGATGCAGAAAGACAACCAGGACGAGTTAGATCTCGAGTACGTCCAGTTCAACGTGCCCAAAGTTCTGGCGCTCTTGAACAAGCGGTTCGCCAGAAAAAAGGGGCGGTAAACTTCAGTTGCGTTATCATTCACGACCTGTACCACTTGTAACTGGAGATACCCATCGCAGGCTTGTTCTTGGCGTTTTTGGGCGGTCATCTTTTCGTCTTGATACCACTGCGAGTTTTCCTCTATCCGACCTGTTTCGAACTCCCTACAACATCTCAGCGGCTCTGAAAGTCAACGTCTGCGACGACACGTTCAAAGCCCTTCCCCCGGTACTTTCTCTCTCGAGCCATATTGCGAGGTCTTTTGTCTTTTGCCATTTTTCATTTCATCGGCGACGCCTTGAACGAGTTTGGTCGTCTGGTCGCTTCAGCACAATCCAAGTGAAGATATCATCGTGGCCCAGCCGTGGGGGGGTCGACGGTCCACGGATTTCGGGCGTCTTGTCTTGATCGTCTACCCTGGGATATTGCCTGACATGGCGGTGGAAATCTGGGATCAATCGATTTTTGCGCTGAATGGGCCGTTCTTGTTATGGTGGTTTGTTTCTCGGAGGATTTATCGATTTCCTCGTTCATAAGACGCGTCTCCTCTTGTAATTCTCCGTCAAGACTAGGGAGCGCCTGCTATACACACAGGTTACGGAAAGATACGCTCGGCTGGTCCGGCGGTAATGTGGATGTTCTCTGTTTACCATCTGCGCGTTGTTGCCCTTTGCAACACTGATTGAACTATGAGAATTTGTAGTAAGAAGTGCTTGGGTTGGTTGACGCCTGTTGTGGAGTCTTTGAGGTCTTAAGGGGTGGCTGGTAATTAACGGTCTGCAGCGCATTCCCCCCCCCCCCCCCCATTGTCTTAATATAGGAACGAGAGCTTCTCGATACGATGGAACGGGATTGGGGAGGCAGCAAGATCTTGTAGAGTGGTAGTGATAATTTGGGTCACTTGGAGGCAAGCATGAAGAGTCCAGCAGACAGATACGTGGACCGAGCTCTGTATACCAACCGGAACTGGCTTTTGGACCAGAGCTATGGTGACTATAGATAAGTATGAATTGAATACCAACTGTATCTTCGTTCTCTCTAGCGACAGACCCGACATAGTGCCAGGTTATGGGATATGCGCTTTGTCATTCGGCGATGTATCGGGAGCCAGAGTCACCTTGAAAATGAGACCAAAAGCTCCAGTGCGTGTTGATAGTTGCTTGGACCCCATTGAATTGGATCTGCATATTGACTTCATTGGAATGCGGCTATAGAAGGGAACAAGCTGGCTTCCAGTTCTTGGATCCTACGCTATTGATTACTCCTGAACTGCACGATGTGGTCAACATATGGTGGGGTTTTTAGAAGCCAAAATGTTGAGAGCCCGCCATGGCTATTGCACGTACGCCATGACTGGAGTAAAGAAAGGCTAATGGTAAGAAGGGTAAGAGGTCGCATCGGTCGGCATCTATGTAACAAGCATCTAAAGCATAGCTCATTGCAAAAGCCGGTTCATTTTATCAGAAGCGGCTATCAGAAGCGGCAAGCCCAAGCGCGCCCAAATGATCTTCTAAATCACCCTGCCACAACGTCTGGCTCCACGTACAAGACCAGGGCGCTCGACTTCGTCACGTAACCTTCCCATTATCCAGAGGAAACGCCGAGAAGATAGGCGATCCTTGTGATATGAGACCGCTAGTGGGTCTTGACCTCCGCAGGTTTTGCCTGGTTTCCGCCGACAGCATTGCCAGCCGTATCAGCCGTGTCCACGTCCATGGCATCTTCCTCCATGGCCTCGCCATCGCCTAGTTCCTCTTCCTCGAGCTCATCTTCGCTCTCGCCTTCGATGTCCACGCTACCGTCATCGGACATTTCGTCCTCCTCCACCTCAAGCGCCTTGCCCTTATCGAGGTTAATGCCGTTCTCGACGCCACCCATGTCCAAGTCATCGCCTGGGACTTTCTTGCTGCCGCTGGCCTTTTCTGCATCGGTAGCGTCGGCATCCTCCTCTTCAATCTCTTCCGCGCCGTATTCATCTTCGTCAGGGGCTAGGTCGGCTTCGGGCTGCTCGGGCGGGAACTCCGCAGGAGCAGAAGCATCCGAGTCCCTATAGATGACTCCGTTAGAAAACAAGTTGCTCCGCCCTGCATCCTTCATATGCACCGATGATGTTGAGATGAAGGGTAGCAGCGCATCAACCGGGAGAAAAACATCTTTGGAACATACCATTTGATAGCGAAGCGCGTTACGCGTGGCTTTTCCGAGAGGATATTGCGTCTGACACGCTCAGTGAGGGGCTTTGAGGGCGGTTCCGCATTGAGCTCTTCCGAGTCATATTCGTTGTTGACGTAGTATCCAACACGCACGAACTCACGTCCGTCGTAAGCGCAAGTTAGAAGAATCACCGTGACACCCAGGATGTCAGCGTCGGGAATGCGGCTCGTGTCAGGAGCGTCGGCCTCGAAGATGAACTTGTTGACGCCCACGGGAATTGGTCCAACGAGAAGGGAATCGAGTTCCTGATCGTACTGATCGCTGAGGAGGGTTAATACCTGCTGCAAACGGTTCAGAAATCATATGCGTGCAAAGACTAACCTGGTAGCGGAGCCGACGTAGGTGAGTTTCCATTCGAGATCTGTTGCCAGTCAGTTTCCCGCCGAGAATTCAAATAGAGCGGCGTCGCATACCCTTCTGTAGTTGCTCGAGGCACTCGAAAGTGATTTCGAACTCGTATTTGTCGGTGAACTTGGCTGGGTTGCTCATCACCTGAACACCCAGAAGCGAGACGGCAGACATGGCGGCGGTCTGTGTGTTGGTGACAAGAGTATGATTGCACGATAACGAGCTGGTCGCTAGAGGGAATAACGTAAAACACGCTCGTGTGATAGATAGCAGAGTCCGATTGTCGAGAAACCGAGGTGCGCGATCCAAATATGTAGGTTGATGCGAATGTAAAAATGGCCCGCTCACTTACCACAGAGGAGAGAAGGCAGGAGAGACAAGGAAATTAGACGCTCCAGGCACCACAATCAGTGCCTACCTTACCCGTAGCAACGAAGATTAAGGTCGCTGGTACCTTCTTAGCGGAGGTGATATTGTTCTTTTTTTCTGGTTGGGGGGGGGGGAGGGTGGGGGGCGCTCGGGACGCGCTTGCTGGGTCGATAATAATCATGGTACAAACCAGAGTATGTACTGTAGGTGACCTGACCCGCGATCTTTCGCGTAAAGTGGTTATACGCCCCTTTAATTCCTGGTAGGGTTAGTCGAGAAAGCTCTCCAGAGGTCCCTGCACGTCCAAGGTCGCGACCACGCCGCCTATGAAACGCTAGACCCATCTCGGCGATTTTGCCGTGTGCTATTCTTTTCCAAGCTTCCTAGGTACGTACTTCGCTCTCACGTCTAGACATTTTCTGCTGTAACCATGGACTTCGGTTTGCTTCGCTTTGTCCTCAGATTAATCCATCTTACCACCACCACCACCACCACCACCACCACACCCCAGGCACAAGGCGCAACAAGCGAATTTATCAGCACATCTTCGATTAATCGTCTAGAAAGTCGCGCAGACTTGTCTTTCCGCTCAGAAGTGCTTTCAGAGCAACCTGCCGAACCCACGCCACGCGCTGTGGGCGCCTGGTCGGATCTTACGGCCAATACACGACATTATTCCTTTGAACGCCGATTCGTCGATTAATTCTCTGGGATTCAGACGCAACTGCACTCCAGATCCGCGATGACTTCCGAACATTCTGGGGACGAACATAGCCTCGAGAGTGAGGCTTGGGAAGGAGAGGAGGCAGGATATGGGGTTGCCAATGAAGATCAGCTTAGCGACCAACAAGCTCAAGACCCTAACTTCCCCGTTGCCCGCGCTTCCCATGGTGATGAAAAAGAAGAAGAAGAAGAAGGAGAAGATGGTGCAGACGATGGTGCAGACGATGGAGGAGAATATGACCCAGAGTCCATATCCATATCCCCCGCTCAACCCTGCTCGGAGCCGTCCCAACCTGCCGCAAAGGCTGCCTCTCCAAAGCCGAAGCCTGTCAAGCCCAAGACGTCCGGGGGTTTCCTAGTGGGAGACTCGGATGATGAGGATGATGTCCCTCCGCCCAACAACTTAGCTGGGCAGGTCATTAACGTTCCTCAAGGCCGTCCTCCTAATGCATCTCACTCTCCTAGTCAGGAACCAATAGCTGCCTCCGCTACTCTATTGAACAATGGAGATCAGATCGCCTCCGCTGACCCATCCACTTCAGTCCCTCACCAAGCGCCTCTTGTGTCTGACAGCAGGAATCCGAGCGACCTCATTAGTCGACTTGAGAATCGCATCAAGGAAGACCCCCGTGGTGACATGGATGCATGGCTGGCCCTCATTGCCGAACATCGCCGTCTCAATCAAACAGACGCGCTGCGCCATGCTTACGAGCGCTTCGTCGAAGTCTTCCCACAAGCGGTACGTCTCTCCCTCATCGAATGTTGACGGTCATTCTGATGTAATCCGTGGACAGGCCGATATCTGGGTACAGTGGATCAATCTGGAGCTGGATTGTATGAACACTACGGCTGCCGAAAGCCTTTTTCAGAGATCTCTCCTCTCCGTGCCGAATGTCCAGCTTTGGACCACGTATATCAATTACATCCGCAGAAGAAACGATCTCACCAAGGATTCAAATGGCCAGGCTCGGCAAGTGATCAACCAGTCGTACGAATTTGTTATCGACAATGTTGGCGTGGATCGGGATTCGGGGCAGCTATGGAAAGACTGGATTCAGTTCATCAAGAGCGGCCCCGGCCAAGTCGGGGGTTCTGGATGGCAAGACCAACAGAAGATGGACCAACTTCGAAGAGCCTACCACCGAGCCATCACGGTGCCGATGGGCTCTCTCACTGAATTGTGGAAAGACTACGACCAATTCGAACTCAGCCTAAACAAAACAACCGTGGGTCCTCCTCGCTCTCCCACAATGACAGTGACTATACGCAGGGCAGGACTAATGTTGTGCAACAGGGTCGACAATTCATCCAGAAAAGATCTCCAGGCTACATGACGGCTAAATCCTCCAGCCTGCAACTAGATCGTAAGACCTCCCGGCTCCATCGGACAACCCTGCCCCGGCTGCCCCCGGCACCTGGCTTCGCGGGAGATCGGGAGTTCATGGAACAGGTGGGCCTGTGGAAACAGTGGATTCAATGGGAGAAGGAAGATCCACTCGTTCTCAAAGATGAGGAGCCAGAAGCTTACAAGCAGCGCATCCTCTACGTTTACAAACAAGCCCTGATGGCCCTTCGATTTTGGCCGGAGATGTGGGTCGATGCCGCCGAGTGGTGTTACGACAACAATATTTTCAAGGACGGCAGTGACCTCGGAATGAAATTCCTGACGGATGGCATTGAGGCCAACCCGGAAAGTGTCCTGCTAGCCCTGAAACACGGCGACCGCATCGAGATGACATTCCCAGCAAGCGATTCTGAAGAGAGCAAGGCAGCACGTGCTAAAGCTGTCCGTGCCCCATATGACCAAGTCTTGGATACTCTGTACAAGATGATGCAGAAGCTCAAGGAGCGCGAGAAGAATGAGCTTGCCCAGATAGAACGTTTGGCAGCAGCCCAGCGCCCTGTTCCGAATGAAGACGACAAAGACGAAGATAATGAAGCTGGCATTCATAACCTACCTCAGAGGCCGGGACATGACGAGAGGCTTCGGGCTGTCAAGCAAGGTTTCGCGGTGCAGACAGATCTTCTAAAGCGAACCATTTCCTTCGTGTGGATTGCTCTTTGCCGTGCCATGCGAAGAACCCAGGGTAAAGGCAGCCCGACTTCTGGTCTTAGGCAAGTCTTTACCGAGGCGCGCGGCAAGGGACAGCTCACAAGCGATGTATATGTGGCAGTTGCTCTGATCGAATCCGTTGTGTATAAGGATGCGGCCGGCGGGAAAATCTTTGACCGTGGTTCAAAGTTGTTCCCTGAAGACGAAGATTTCATGTTGGAGTACATTAAGTTTCTCCACTCCAAAGACGACACCACAAGTAAGTTAACGTTGACGAATCCCCTCCCTCTGGATTGATGATGGTTCATTGTGCGGCTAGTTAACATGGTATCCCCATAGATGCACGGGTTGTCTTTGAGACATGTGTGAACCGTCTAACACAGAAGCCCGAAAAGAAGGACAGAGCAAAGCGGCTGTACATGTACTTCCATAAGTACGAGTCGCAATATGGCGAGCTTGCCTCCATTGTCAAGTTGGAGAAGAGAATGGCCGAGCTGTGGCCTGATGATCCCAAGCTCTCCCACTTCTCAAACCGCCACTCGGTGGCGAGTTTTGACCCGATTGCGTACAGGCTCATAGTGTCCCCTGCGATTCAAATGCGGCCTAACATCATGCCATCCATTGAGCAGCCGGCTTCCTCTGTTCGCAACAGCCCGCTCCCGCTTCCAGCCGCGGCCCCGGCTACCGCTCGCCAGACCGCCAGTCCTGCCCCTCCCCATTTCGTGGTGACTGCATCTCCAAAGCGACCTCTACCCGCCGATGATCAGGAGGAATTCAACAGACCACGCAAGCTGGCGAGGGGCGAGTCCCCTCTGAAGGGCGCTGCCGGTCGGCGCCTGGACCAACAGAGGCGCAATCACGGGGCGCCAGTCTCGCGAGACATAACGTTCTTCTTGGGCATCCTTCCTCCAGCACACACGTACAACTCTCAGCTTTTCAAGTCCGCAAATATGGTCAACTTGATTAGAGACACGACGATCCCCGACTACAGCACATGGAAGGCAAATCAAGACCCGGGGGCAAGGCAATCCAACGTCTTGCAGTCTCGTGTGTCTGCACCTACGGCTTCGCACGGTCGTCAAGCATCTGGTGGTGATTACCCCCCATACGGCACGTACCCTAGTGGCGGCCGGGATTCCCCGAATCCGCGGCCTCTTAGTCCTTACAACGGCAATGTCGGACAGCGGGTTGCCTCCCAGTCAGGTTACAGAAACTCTCCTTTGCGTCCGGAATCTGGAGCCGGCTTCGAAGGCACTTCCCCAGGATACCGCCAAGAGGTCCCACTGTACCAACAGGCTCCTCCAGGCCAATGGGCTTCACCTGCTTCGGGCCCTTATGAGGGAAGTGCCGCCCCGTCCTGGGCGCCTCCACCAGCTGGCTACGGCGCACCCCCCCCTCAGCAATATGGCCAGTACCAGTATTAATGCTGTGATGCTGCTGCGACCTGCCAATCCGACTGGCTTTGTTTTGACTGGTTATATGCACCCGTCCCTCTCCCAGTATCCTCTTCTTCTTGCCCAGGTTGTGCCGCTGTGCCGTCCGCGTTAGATTGGATAGTAGAGAACAGGGCGATGGAGAATCAACTCAGCAGATATGTCCTCGCCTTCCCTGGTGTCTAAGCAGACAAAAAAAAAACTTTCAATTCTGTAGGTTTTGTTGCCGGTTATGCCAACAGACTGAGGGTTACCGGCGGCGCTCTCTTCATCTCTTCACCACGAACGCATTGTGCGACCGGACACCTCAGGACACGGGACTTTGAAGAAGGGGACTGAGATTCGGGTAAGATATGGACACTTGAGGACTTGGCATGTCTTGCCCAGACATCTAACATTGTAACCATATTCCGACAATGTTTGTGGCGTCGGTTTTTTTTTTTGGAGTTCATGGTAACCAGTGGCTTTCAGAGGATTTCTTCCGACGGACTTGGCCCAGCTCTCTCTCTCTCTCTCTCTTTCTATACTTTATTCCATAGACTACCTAGGGTAGGATAGCACCGTCTCTAACCTCAGCGAATGGCTGGAGCCAAAGTCACATGCCTAGCCTGGCTGGCAATCAAGAGGAGGAGGACAAGTGAAGTTTGGTTGGCGGGCTTGGGACAGTCACCCAGGTAATCTACGTACATTAGTACTCCCTTCTTCCCTGGAACTCATAATACTTCTAGGTTAAGAGTCATACATGGGCCTCCTAACATATAATAGACGACATCTCAACATCTATCTGTGCACGGGAAATATGTGCTTTGCCATCCACTGTTTCCGAGGTTCGCCCCCTGATGGACTCTCGAATATGGGCTCCTGTTTCCTGGATACTAACACTCGCCTCAGCACTTCTTTGGCCTTCCCGGGACGCACTCATTACATGATGTCCAAGTAAGTGCTATTAAGGAAGACGGCCCTACGTCAAGCTAGGAATTGATCATGCGGCTGGGAATATATATAGACGCCTTTATAACAATCCTGGGTCTACCTAATGTATCTGACTACTGCTCAGGGCTTGCAAATAGCCTAGCTTGCCTAAATGGATACCAATTTAGTTCTTCCAGAACAAGATAGTTTATGAAGGGGGAAAGTCTTGCTATCTGGGTCGGGACCGGTATGCAGGTTTTTGTTTAGGGATATACAGATACAATCTGTTATCCGGCCTCACATTACCTTGACATCTATAACTTAGACTCATTAGGTCCCGACTATATCACAAGTCTTGAATCTCGACTTCGCAGTACTTATGGTAGAATCCAAAGCCATTATCACTAACTTTGTCTTAGCATACACATTCCCTCCTACGTGACGTAAGTAGGTCTATTAGGATGCCATGCTTTATTATTCATCCCGCCTTCTAAGGTAGGTAGGCGGCATGGTATGTTCTTTGACTTGTATTTGCTGCCATGCGCGCTATGTTACTTTGTTCTCTCTTTATGTCCTGACGGGGTAGTTTACCTGCCCCTTGCTTCCCTAATGCAGTAACTGCCACAGAAATACGGGTATTTACTTTCCTTTTAGCTATATGCTAAGGTAGGCACGATGCTCCCTGGGTATTAACCTTGGTACTTACCTTGTTATCTTGAAGGGCTGCTCCTTCTTCCTGGCCACAGGACTATTGAAAACAAGACAGGAGCACCTATAGGCTTCCATCATCTGACCAATACGTCAACCACGATATGTAAGTGGAAATACCAACGACCACCTTGATGGTATAACCCTACCTTGACCGATCCTCCTTTTCAACTACAGCCTGCTTCTTCTTCTGCCACCTCTTCTTCCACCTTTTCTTCCACCTCTTCTTCCACCTCTTCGTCAAACTACCTTATCCTTCAAACTATCCTTCCTCCCAGTCATCCGTCAAACAAGTTCGTTCTATTGCCAGGTATTTGCTTGCCCAAATTCTTCCCCCTTGCCTCCGCAAAGTCATCATCAAACAACTATCTTGTTCTTATTGAAAACCCTTTCCCATACGGGCCATACCCATCATCCTAGCTCCCGCCTCATCTCCTGCCCTCTCGCGAGAGCTGGATAGAAGCAATAATCTAACAGAACCAGATCAATATTTGCGTCTTTGCCCAGGTCTTGCCAGGGCCGGATATCCAGCACTGGTAGGCATTCCCAACAATCGCCCTTGCCCCAGCAATCCGTGGCCTTCCTTCCTTCCTTTGACAATAGGACCCGCCTGACCACCTACATCACCACGGGTGCCGTTTGCCCTCCATCCTCTACGGGCGCTGGTTCGGGTAGTTATTTGCCTACCTTATTTACCTTCCCTACCTTATTCACCGGCTTTCGTCCACAACCAACACACACCCTGTTGCCACCGGCTTCAGGATCCTCAACTTTTCCATCCATCTGTTTGGTCTCGTGGCTCTTCCTACATATCAAACTTCCTAAGGTATCCAACTAATACTTCCACTTCTCAATCTCCCCAAACCACCAGAAACACATCTGGCAAATAGACAGGTGCACCACATTACTGGCAAGCCAACTTTCCGCTGCGAAGCGTGGTTGCCAAGCAGTTGCCTTTAGTGGTTACCTCTTGCCTTACCCCCAAGCAAACTCCAAGCAAGCACGTTCCTTCCACGCAACTTCCCGTGAGTTGCTTAGTCCCAACCTATACACATATATATATCCCCATCCATCCCTCCTGTACTTCAACCATAGTCTCCTCTTCTTCTCTCTTTTCTTTTTCTCGCTTCTCTTCACATTTAACCCAATCTTCACTTGGTTGCCGTCTCTAACACTTGACTCTCTCAAGACCAGTTATCGAGTTCCCAAGTCCATACGAAGCTTCAGCATCGGTCCTACTGCGGGCTGAGGTAAGTGTCCTGCTCTTACTCTGGTTCGAATTACGTGAAACCTGGCACGCAGACGTCGAGGCTGCATATACTCTCTGCTCTACATTTATCTCTTTGAGATTTTGCAATCAAGCCCGACTCTCGCGTCCACGTCTACTTTCCTTTCCCACTCTGAGCCCCCCTCTGCTTTTACTATCATCTTCTTGACCGTTTCTCTGGTCGAATAAGGCTATCATCGACTCCCCCCCATCTTTGCCAGGCAATATGTCTTTCGGATCTTCGCAGGGCGGCCGGCAAGGCGCCCCGCCCGGTCCAGCTGGTCCGTCTCAACCTGTGTCGGGCTCCGCTCAAGCCTTGGTGCCTCAGAGTGGCCAGGCCGGCTACTCGACACCTTTGGGGTATGACCCTGCTCGGACCTCGACCGAGGACAAGGGAAACACCCGCCTTGACTTGCCCCTCGAGGCTTATATTACTGCCGAACGTCTGCGAGTGAGTACAATCCGTCCGAAGATGAACGAAGATTCTTTGCAATAGCTAACCACTTTACAGAATGCCGGTATCCAAGCATTCGCCAGACGACCAAAGACCACGCCTATCGGAAAGCCAGTTGACTTAGAAGTCAACCAATTTCGGGTCAATTCGTGGAATGACCAGGCGAGGGCTTATCAATTCGATGTAAGCATCACCCCAGCGCCCTTGAAGCTGGGGCCCGTCTTCAAGAAATGCTGGAATCATCCAGATGTGAAGGCTGCACTCGCCAAGTACAATACTCTCTGGCTTTATGATGGCAAGAAGCTTGCTTGGTAAGTGGTCAAGACATATCTTTGCACCCCCGTCGAAGATAATTTCCCCTTTGGCTAACCTGGCTACTAGGTCTTCGTGTCCCATTCAACGTGGCGAGGAGCGTATCCGTGTCGACCTCGACAAGGACCTCCCTCCTCGAGCGGATGGCAAGCCACGTCGTACGGATAACGAATTCTATTTCGTCATCCGCCAGACGGCTGAGATCAATCTTGCCGTCCTTGAAGCCTACCTCAAGGGCCAGTGCGATTGGAACAGCAAGGTTCTTGAATGCATGAATTTTCTCGACCACCTTGTCCGTCAGTGGCCGTCGGAGAACTTGGTCTCCATCAAGCGGAGTTTTTATCCCACCCAGTCCGGTCAGCAGGTCGTCCGCGAACTTAGCTCTTGCGTCTGGTTGATCAAGGGTGTCTATGCCTCGGTTCGTATGAACCAATCGGTGGTGAAAGGTATTGGCCGCGGCCTTGGTCTCAATGTCGACGTCGCCAACACGGCTTTCTGGGCAAGCAACAAACCCATGCCTGACCTGATCAGGGAATATCTGGCTATGGTCGATCCCAAGCTGCGAGGCAAAAGCATGGATGATCTCGTCTCGGAGCTGAGGCCTGTTCCCGTGAAGGTCAAGGACGGAAGAGTGCTTCACTCCATGTCACATGCTTTCAAGCTACTGCGACGGTTATCGAAGCTTCAGTTCACAGTCCGGCATCGTGCCAAGGAACAGAACGAGCGTCAGTACCGCATTTTGACCTTCGAGTTCGCTGAGAAGTACCGAGAAGAAGGTGCCACGGCCAGAAATGTCATGATTCCCAACCGCGATGGCAATGGTACTATCAGCATTCTGGAATACTTCAAGAAACAGTACGGCTACAACATCAAATGTCCCGACTTCCCTCTAATCCTGACATCTAAAGCGGGCCTGTTCCCCATCGACGTCTGTAACGTCTCTCCCATGCAGCGATTTCCTTTCAAGCTGGGTCCCGATGAAACAAGGAAGATGATTGAGCACACCGCGACGCTTCCCAACCAGCGTCGTCAGGATATCATGACTGGGAAGAGAATGCTCAATTGGCCTGAGGATCCGTTTCTTCGTCAGTATGGGATCAAGTTCGACGAGAACATGGCCAAGACCACTGGCCGGCTTCTCGACCCCCCCGTAGTCCAGTTCGCCAACGGTCAGGCAGATCCTAAGTTCGAAGGTCGCTGGGACTTGAGGGGGAAGAAGTTCCTCGAGCCTAACGCCATCGCCTTGTCGTCGTGGGGCTTCATGATTCTTGAGCGGTCGGCCACCCCTGAGCACACCCGACAATTCGCGATGGGTTTCAAGAAGAAATATATGGAGCACGGTGGCAAAATCACTTCTGATCCCATCATCATAACCTCCCAAGGCCACGAGCCGAACGTCGCGGAGGCGGTGAAGAACGGAATCAACGAGATCCGGCGTCAAACCAACCAGGCGGTGCAGATATTGTTCTGTATCCTCAAGTGGTCCAATTCGGGCAACTACGAACGTCTGAAGAAGTCGGCAGACTGCCGCTTTGGAGTTCTGACCCAGGTGATCTTGTCCAAGCACGTTCCCATGAACAAGGACCAATACCACTCCAACGTCGCGATGAAGGTGAATGCTAAGCTCGGCGGCACGACGAGTTTCGTCCCGAAGATAAACAGGGCCAAGCCCAAGGATCCCTCACCTCCCTTCTTTAGCGTCCCGACCATGATCATTGGCGTCGACGTCACCCACGGGACCCCTGGAGTGCCCAATGTTCCATCGATGGCCGCCATGACCATGTCCATGGACAAATACGCCTGTCGCTATGCTGCTGCCGTCCAGACCAACGGTTTTCGGGTGGAACTCCTGGCTCCCACGACCACCCAGGAGTTTCTTGGGAAATTGCTCCCCATGTGGCAGAAGAAGGCGAACATGGCTGCACCTCACCACATCATTTACTTCCGCGACGGCGTCTCCGAGGGTCAGTTCGCCCAGGTTCTCGAGACAGAGATCGCTGTGATCAAGGACTGGTTCCGAACGGAGCTAAAAAAATTCAATGCCCCGATGCCCAAATTCACGGTCATCGTTGCCACCAAGCGGCATCACATTAGATTCTTCCCCCGGCAGGGTCAGGGTGACCGGAATGGGAATCCCAGGCCCGGCACACTCCTGGAGACGGAGGTGTGCCACCCATTTTATTGGGATTTTTATTTGTGTGCGCATAGTGCCATCAAGGGCACGTCCCGGCCGGTACACTATACGGTCCTGCTGGATGAGTCGGGCATGAACCCGGCCACACTACAAATGATGATTTACCAACACTCATATCAGTACATGCGCAGCACGACGCCTGTCTCCTTGCACCCCGCAATTTATTATGCGGACCTGGCCTGCGGACGCGCACGTACTCACGAGACGATCGCTACGAGTGAGGGATATCGTTCGGGACCCAAGGCTGCCGAAGTGGCTATTGACGTGGCGGCATTTGAGGCGTCTCTGAGCAATGCCAAAATTGGCACGGACTCGCTTCCACTGTTGCCCATGGGTGGAGAAGAAGCGCTGGAAATCAACAAAAAATTCTTTCCCACCACGATGTGGTACATCTGAGAGGGAGACTCTCTTTGCTTTGAGCTGGTATGAACTTCATCGGGCGTTTAGGAGAATGGCTTGGCAACCAGGAAACATCATGTGGACCAAAGGGAAAGGAAAGCCGGATAACGGGGGCGGACGTACCAAGCAGGGGACTTTTTTTCTTCTGAGATACGACGGGTGACCAAGAATTCTGCACAGGGACAGATATTCTTGAGACTGTGGCCTTGATCGATGGATTTGGTAGTGGTAGATGTGGTGAGACAGAAACCACTTACTATTCCAGAGGTAGTCAAATCTCAACTTCGCATATAACATAGCCGTACTGTCCCAACTGTCTTTTGATGATTGTCCCGGTGTTCTGACTGATAATAATGACAGACAGAGTCGCAGAATAATCGAGAAACGAGGACAAGATAGATGGGACAAGCCTAAATTTAATGTAATAGTTGCGGTAAGTCTGAGGGAGCGCGGAATGAAAGTCAAGTTCATCGAGCCCCGAAAAAGGCATTCCCCGACAGATATGTAACATTGCGTGTCCTTGTGGTATCTTCCGTTTGTCTATCTATATTGGTTCAATCATCAGGCATGAAGGGCCCCCGAAGGGAAGTAAAAACATGAGGGTACCAAAGAATAAGAAAGAGAAACGCCTTGACAAATCAAGCAAACCGAACGAGAATCGAGTCTCCCCTCCGTATTCCAACTTCTTCCCTTTCTCTCGCCCGTTTATAACACCACCCACCCGCTCTTCAAGCCTCTTACTGCGTCAAAAGTCTTGATTAACCACTCCCAAATTCTTCCGCATCCAAGTCCAAGCCCACGTGCTTGGTCCGCAAGTGCCGGACAAAGTTGTCGCGCCGGTTATAGACGTGACCCGTCTTGGCCTTCCGGCATCCGGGCACGCGGCACCGGTACCCCTTGGGGGCGGCACCGCTATCGTCGACCTTCTCGTGCGTCTTCTTGTGTCGCTTCAGGTCTTTTTGCGTGGCAAAGGCCTTGTCGCAGCCGGGCTCGTCGCAGAAGGAATCCTTGACGTGGTATCGCTCGTGCTTGCTAAGGAGGCAGGGGACTGTTAGCTTTCGTCTTATTTTCTTCTTCTTCTTTTTTTTTTGAAGGGAAAAGGGGATAAGAAGGGGAAAAAGGGGGGGAAAAGGAAAGAAAGAATGAAAAAAACCCACGTCAAGTCGCTGCGTCGCCTGAACATCTTGCCGCATTGGTTCCATGTGCATTCGTATTTCAGCTCCCTCGCCGCGGTGGTGGCTGCGGGCGAGTTCCATCCGATGCTACTACCTTCCTCGCTGCTGGAGCTGGTGGGCGTGGCGGTCATGGTCGTGGAGGCGTCGTCGTAGACGGCCATGACGGATGGGATGAAGCCCGCGGCCGCCATGGTCGCGTGGTTTGGGGGGTTTAGCATTGGGCTCGGAATGGCCGAAGAACATGAGGGGGTGTCGAGTGGAGACGCCGTGGCACCAGGTACCGTAGGTGAGCTCCATGGTGAACTGTCGAAGGGGGCCGAACAGATGTCGGCCGGCGTGGGGTACGGGAAAAATAAGGGGGGGTCGTCGATGGACTCGATGTATGTGTCGAACGGCGAATTGGAAGGGTAGTACCACTCGCAGTAGCAGACCGGATGCCCGAGGACCACGCAGTAACACGAGTCAACGAGTTGGGGTGTGATTCCGGTATCCAGGTGAACCGCCACTTTCGCTACGTGCCAGGGGCAACGGTAATTATTTGTGGTGGAGGAGGGACTGTGAACCGCCGACGAGCGAGCGGATGAGCGAGGGCAAGACTTCGGTGCGTCCTTGCGAAAGGTTCGGCCGGCCAGTAGGCGAGAGATGGCGTACCACGCGGTGGAGAGATATCCGGTGGGTAATATCGAGATCGAGCGAGGTAGCACAGGGTGGGAGGTACTGTAGGTCTGTCTTTTCCGTTCCTTAGATCGAAGATGACGTGGGGGATGGTACTAAATGAAGCTCCGAGAGGCAACAGCTAGCCCTGAGGGTTAAGGGTGCTTTGACTGGGTCAAGTAGTGGCGGGGAATATCCCCGCATGCGGCCTTCCAAAATGATGTTGGGAGAAGCTTTAAAAATTGCACCAGGAGAGGTATGTGTGTGCTGTGCACAGTCCGGTGAGGTCGAGGGAGGTTTGGATAAGGAAGCCCTATCGGTCCATTCCGGAGAAGATGTGAGTAAGCAGAAGGTTGTTGTTGGTTAGCAGGACGTCGTCGAGTTGAGAGCGAAGTCCAGATGACGCCGAGTCGAGTCGAGACAAAATCGAGTTGTGGGAAAGCTTTTTGAGGGATAGGAAGATCCTTGGTGGTTCAGCGATAACGAGTTGACAGTGGTTATCGAGCTTTGTGTGAACTGCTGTGTATTTAGGTTAAATAGGTTGATATTGGCTCCGATTCCTTGTAGTATTATACTGAGTGGATGGAGTGTCGTCCGGACGATTTCGAACCTGAGTAAGCGCGGGAGGTAATTAGAAGAATTAAGCCGGCTTCCGGGTCGCGGGGCCAAGAGGGGAAGGGGGATATGGCTTTCTTAAGTAAAATGTTTGTCTAAGGTAAGACGAAAGAACCCCATAACCCCACAGTAAGGTATCTAGGTACATACTCCGGACGACGTACGAAATATCCGTACTCTAGGTAGGTACCTTACGTACTACATTTTGGGGACGGACCCACCCGGCCATATCATCAAGGTCAACGAATTCGCTTCATTCCCCGAGGGCTTTTATTGCGTCTAGCCATCCAGCCTTGCGATGTCAGTGTCTACATGCTCATTCATTTCGGTCGGGGCAATTAATGTGAGGGGGAGGCTGTGCATGCAGAGACGGGATGCACCAATGTGCGCAACTCGTTGGAGAGGATGCAGCGAGAGAACAAGGGAAAAAAGGGGGGAGGTGAGAATGAGCAAGGTGGAGGGCCTCAAAAACATGTGGTCGAGATACCAAGTCTCACTCTCCCAACATACGCAATAGGTAGGTAGGTCAAGGTACCTATAGCCATACCGAGATAACCTAGGACGCTTCGTATAGTGGACATCCCCGTCCATCCCGTCGCGGTAGCATCGAATCGCAGGTGAGAACGGCGCTTTGCCGGCCGGTGTTAGAGAGGTACCGTTGCCGGCGGAGTCCAGCCCAAGTTCGGTCTGCTGCTACTGGACGATCACGGCCCGACAGATAATTATCCAGTGGGGATAGTTTACAGTGTTAATAAAATCGCGCCCTGTCTCGAGGAGTGAGCTATTTAGATTACCGTGGCGGTTCTTCACGGAGCCCTCCCCTTTTTTCCCTTCTTTTCTTCTGCGGGAAAGAAAGACAAGAATAAGAAAAAAGAAAAAAAAAAAGAATAAGAAAAAAGAAAGGGGGGGGCGCGGTGACATGGAAGTTAGAGTGACATGAGGGACGAAGGTACGTTGTACTTTCGTACTTGTCATCGGCGCCCGACGTCAGGCTAGAACCCTTGGCTGCGCCTCCCAGGGTCGAAGGCTGCCCTGTGCCACATACGGATACACTGCCCGTTTCCCGTCACGAGTTCCCCTTCCTAGACGTCAAGCCTCGTCGCCTCGCATTATCGATTCTCATATCATCATGCGCTTATAAGGTGGATGAGTTGTGCGGTCACGAGATAGTGCATATGTCGTCACTACGAAGCAGAATCTCGCCTTGCGGAGGTAGAGATCTCCTGCATCTCCTCCTGCGCCTCGCCTTAATGCTCCGTACAGCGTTCTCAGACCTTTTTCCTGCAGCCTCGATTTCCCCTTAATCCACATTCAAGAGCGAACTCGCGGGGAAGGTCGGGGAAGAAGGTGGCGTTGCACGGTCTTCACACCCCGAACATTCCCGATCCTTGCACGGCGGGGTATAGAACAATTGGACAATGGGCTTCAGAGGGCTGGCTATCAGACTTTGAAGCACGACGATGAACCCTGCGAAGGCAGGGCGTATACTAGATTATCCTATGCATGTGAAGCCCTAGGGTAGCCTACAACGTAGGATTCGATTAATTGATTGGGGGGAGTAGGTACCAGTGTCCATGGTGCGTATTTGTATCCTCTGGGCACTCCCGGTCCGTCCTGCCAAATTCGGCGTGCCATGCTACATAAACCTGAGTTCTTCTTTACGGAGGACTTCGTCATACATTTTACATTAAACATGGCAAAATTTACGAGTAGCCAAATCCTCCTGGTTATTTGTTCTGCGCAAGTCACCGAAGGATAAGGTAAGGTACCTTAGGTACCTACCTTAGGTAGAAGACCTGGAAAAGGTCGAGAGGTACATGGGTACTTCGAAGTCGTCTCGTGGCTTCGGCCGAGACGCCGGGCTATACATCTTGATAAGGTAATCTTCCGTACGCTGCCTGTGTACGGATACCTTACCTAAGATACCTTACGTGAACGGAGAAAAGAACCGTTATACGTAGATATACCAGGACGGGTCAACTCGAATACCGATAATTACGGAAGCGGGCCAAACCTCCCAGCAGGACAGTCACGATGGTTCTCGTGACTACGTATTCGTACGGGAGAGGGCCTTTGAGGACAAACAACCTGCTAGGTTGACAGTGCGATCGGGGCACTCTGCAAGGAGCATCCGCTTTGGGAAATTCGGACAGTACCCTGGCCAAAAAAAATCACGTAGGTATCCGTACAAACATACGACACCAAGCTTCAAGTCTGACGGCTTGCATCTGTAAGGTAATTACGTACGAAGTACAAACAGGAAACAGACAAACATACACACAATTTTAAGCGTCGCGGGTTTCATGGTCAGTCAAACAACCACCTGAACAATTAGTGAGCACATTGTTGCATCTGCGAGATCAATCAACGATGAGCCTGCATCATTGTGACCATCACACTCTGCGAAGTTTTGGGGCAGAATTTGAAACATATCTTCTGAGGTGCAGTATCCGTAGATGCTACGGAGTGCGGAAGAGGTTCCTCTCTCGTTGGAGCCCAACCTACGGATAATATCCATCGTCTTTAATGGGGGCCCGACGTGAGATGTGATACCTAAAATGGAACCGAATTGGACAAAGCCATCAGGGTTGGGTGGCTGTGTCCCCTTAGGTAATCGCATCCTTCCGGAATAAGTTCCAATGATTTCCCGATCCTTGTCTCGATTTCATTTCGTTCGTGTTTTCCTTTTTCCCCAATTTTCTTTTTCTTTTTTTCTTTTTTTCTTTTTTTCTTTTTTTTGGTCCTTTTATAGCCTCAGGCGCGCCGTCGCCCAAGTTAAGATACACGTACAACGTACCTACTCCCGTCCACAGAAGGTAATGAGCCGCCGGACTCGTGCGGCCGGTGCTTCAGTCGGTCCAGGGGCATCTCGGAGCCTCCAGCCCAGGCCTTAGATCCCTAACGCCGTGACACTCCGGCCTCAGAAGTCCGGTGACTCCGTACCATGTAGTCGATACCAAGATGAACTGAAGCATATCTGTCACCGAAGCCACCGAAGCCCCTCCGCCAAGCCAATGCGGGGAAATTCAGTTCTACAAGGTACGAAGTACTTGGTCTAGGTACCGGAGCCTCAAGAGCTGACGTAACCCCTGTAACCCCTCTGAATGAAGTGCGAACGAAGTAGGTACCGTACACTTATAGTAGAAGTAAGGTAGACCCTTGTAGATCTCGAGCTTCTCTCTTTCTTTCGGAATCCAGACACCCTCATCACCGCAACCCCCCAACAAGCATAGCAGACCAACATGGCGTCGGCATTCTTGCGAGGGAAGCAGGCGGGTATGCAACACGACCTGTCTGCAGCCATTGTACCCGAGCTCTTTGCACCTGATGACCAGGCCAGATATGGTATCAACTCTCAGATTAGGTTAGAGGTCCCCCTCTTCTCGTGAAGAGTGAATAAGAAGAGAGAAAGGAGAAGAGACGAAATTGCTGACCAGAGTCCGTCGACCTGTGCCCCCCCTCCTTCCCCAAAATAACAGCTGCTTGGCCTATGATCCTATCCAATCCCTCCTTGCCATCGGCACCAACGAATCTCAGTTTGGGCCCGGGAAAGTCTTCGTCTTCGGCCATACCCGTGTCTCAAAAACCCTTGAGCCGCAGAGGCCGACCTCCTTCCGCGCTCTTCGATTCGCCGCCAACCGTCTTGTCACCCTGGATGTCAAGAACGACCTGGCCATATGGGACCTCGACTCCGGCGACCGCATCGCCGGCCAAATCATCACAGGCAGCGTCGTCTCTCTCGTCACCGATCCGCTACTCGACTGGGCATTTCTGGGTCTGGCCAGCGGCGAGGTCCTGGCGTACGATCTCGACAGAGAGAGGATTGCCACCACTTTCCGCTTGCCCAGCTTCTGGCGCGAGCACGACCCGAGCGCCAGGGCCGTCACCCTTGTCTGCATGGCGCTGCACCCCACCGACATTGGCAAGCTCTTGATCGGCTACAGCACCGGTGCCGTCATCTACTCGTTCAAACAGAATGTCCCTACCAAGTTTTTCGAGTATGTGCTTCCTCCCGGCGCTCCCGGAGGCGCAGGCGCAGGCGTCGACTCGGTGCGTAAGCCTAGATTGACACATGCCCTGTGGCATCCGTCCGGTACCTTCGTCTTGACCGCCCATGATGACGGGAGCTTGGCATTCTGGGACCCCAAAGAGGGCAAACTGCTTTCCGCCAGGACCTTGGATAGCACCAGTATTCACAAGCCAGGTCCCAACCGCGCCTCGGCCGCCCTCAACGAGCCGTATGCGCGCATCGCCTGGTGTTGCAAGGCTAATTCAGATGACACGGGACTGTTGGTAGCCGGCGGGCAGTCGCCCGATAGCCCCCAGAAAGGGTTGACCTTCATCGATTTCGGTCCCACCCCGATCTATGCCACGTCCTCGTGGCAGGTCCTCCAGGACCATTTCGAAGGAAAGCGCCAATCTATCCTACCGACTCCACCCGGTGCCCAGGTTATCGATTTTCTTCTCATTCCGCGGACGTCGCCGCATTACGCCGGCGCCCACGACCCAATTGCCGTCATGAGCCTCCTGACTTCGGGAGAGCTCATCACCATGAGCTTCCCTTCGGGTTATCCCATCAGTCCCACAAACCAGCTTCATCCCTCCGCCTCGTTTGTCCACCCATACGTCACGAGGTTCAATGTGCAGACCGTCGACCGCGGTCGGTGGTTGGGCATGACCGAGACTCGGAACCAAGGGGAACCTATTCTTAAAGGCGGAGCGTTGGCCAACAGGCCGTCCAAGAAGTACCAGGGCCGCTCGATTCTGCAAGTGGCTCACGGCGACGGCACAGTGCGTATCTGGGATGCAGGGCATGCCGACGAGATTGAGAATCCTCTCGTACTGCAAGTAGACGTAGCCCGGGCGGTTGGTCGGTTCGACAATGTCCAAGTCACGGCAATGCATATGGCCCCCAGCACTGGCGAGTTCGCAGCCGGCACCAGAACGGGAGAGGTCGTCATGTACAGATGGGGAGTTAATAGGTCACACGGCAGGGATCAGTCGGAGCCCTTGCCACCCAATCCCGGTGGTCTGACGGACATTAGGTCGAGAGCCGAGCCTTCCCTGAAAGAAGGGCTGCAGCCGTTGTCATTGTACGAGATGGCGCAGGGTCCTATTACCGCCCTATGCGTGTCTGACGTGGGATTCATCGCGGTAGGCTCCGAGGGTGGTTTCTTCAGCATTATCGATCTCCGGGGACCTGCGATCATCTTCAAGGCACCTATCTCCGAGTTTGCGAAACAGGAGAAGCGATCTTCTTTCCTCAAGAGTTCGTCCAGCTCCTCGGGGCCCAAGGAATGGCCCGTTGCTGTCGAATTTTCCGTCATGACTCTCGAAGGCGACGGCTACTCCAGCATTTGCTGCTTTGTGGGGACCAACCTGGGCAGAGTTGCCACTTTCAAGCTGCTCCCGGCCAACAACGGGTACACGGCCCATTACGGCGGTGTGCAACAATTTGACGGCAAGGTCGTCTCGCTGTGCCCGATCATGACCGATACCGGCAAGCCTGCGCTTGCCACGGGGCCCATCGTCGCTGGTCTCCGTGAGGGACGTCAAGTTCACGGTGTTCTTGTTGTGGGTGAGTACTACTCAATACCACAAAAGTTCGGTCGCCTGTTTGTGTGTATCATTCCCAACTAACCGTTTCCCAGTGACCCAGAGCGAGATTCGCATCTTCAAACCTGCTACAGGAAAAGGAGCGTCTAAATCCTTCGACGATGCCCTATGCGATGCGGCCACCGTGACGGAGTCTGAACTCCAGGGCTTCGCCATCGTCGGCGTCTTTGGTGACCGCACTGCTCGTGCCTTTTCCATCCCCGGCCTCAAGGGGCTCAGCAGGGTCGCGCTGCGCATGCTCGATCCGACCCGCACCACGAACGCCGTGGTCACCCAGACCGGCGGAATCTTCGGCTGGACCGGCCCCAGCGAGATCGCGATGCTCTCTGCCTGGGGTACGGGGAAGCCCTTGCCGCCCAGCCTGGACGTCATGATCAACCCGGACCTGGCCCCGCCGGTGCGACCGACCATCTCCAACATCCAGTGGCTGTCGGGCACGCAGTATGTATCGCCGACCGACCTCGACCTGCTCATCGCGCCGGAGCGACCTCCGAGCAAGCGCATGGTGGCGGCGGCGGCGGCCGAGCAGCGGGCGGCCCGTTCTGGAGGGTCGGGGGCAGCGGCGGGGTCGAGCCGCGGGGCGCCCAGCAACGAGGGGTGGGGTGATTACCTGACTCGGCAGCTCAATGAGCGGGCGGAGAAGCTGAACATTGTGGGCGACAGCATGGAGAATCTACAGAACCAAAGCCAAGGGTGGGCGCAGGACGTGAACAAATTCGTCAGCCAGCAGAAGAGGAACTTGGTTCTGGGAAGTATTAAGGGCAAGTTCCTCTAACGGGGAATTGACGGCGGAACGGGATGTTTTCCAACAAAGGGCCTTTTGTTTTCGAGATGGGATAAAATCTCTCATAGCATTCGCGCGGGAGCGGATGGACAGGCGTAACGGAATATTGGATTTCCATATGAGTTGGCGTCCGGGATTCTCCGCTGTGCTTCTCAGGGCCTGACCGTGAACAACAACAACAACAACAACCCAATCACCCTTTCTTGGAGGTAACTAAAATCGACACATAAAACATAGCTATTGGTATCAGCTTCTCAAAGTCAGGACTTGTTGTCCACGCCGGTGACAGGCAATCTTTCATGCCTTCAACTGCGAAAAGCTGGGAAAGTGCGTCAAATTCAGGTGCTCAGGGGGATCAGTCGCCACACATCAGGTCACGAGAGAGATGGACAACGATATGATGTATATATGGCCAAAAATGGTTCTCTTATTTATTCACGTACCTTGATACTTCTTGCGTTCTCTCGTGTCACTCTGTGAGCACCGAAACGATTTGGGTTAGATTCTGTTGTGAGGCCGATGCCTACCTACCTTGACCACCAGGGTCGATGCTGCTTTAGGCGATCTTCCGACCGCCGGTACGAGACGGGCCTTGCCCCGAAAGTCTCCGATATACGACCAGGACGGCCGGAGGCGTCAGACACGGAAGAAGTGGCATTAGGGATAGGAGGGCGGTTAGTGACACGCTGATCGCGGACAGGGGGAGGCGACAGCCCATGCCGGGCCGGAGGAACGTCTTCTTCATGGTTAGACTCGTCACTCTCATCATCTCCAATGATGAAGGTTTCCGTTCCCGGTTCTCCTTGATTTCCGGCGTCGTCGAGGGGAGGTCGCACAAGGTCAAAAGAGTCCCGCATGAAGGTCAGGCGAATCCCTTCGTCGCTGGACATGCGGGACGGCTGCACAGCGGGCGTGGGGTCGTTTCCGGGGGCTCGTTGTTGAGTATTGGCATTGCCACGGTCTTCCCAGGGCAGGGCTGGGTTGCATGTGCAGCACCGGAGCCGGCGGTTCAGCGAGAGGACTTCGCCTCGGTGGATGGCGCGCTCCCTGTCCCATTCCTCGCGCCGTCGCAGGTCGTACTTGGCTGTACGGCGTCGCCAGATGCAGAGGGACAAGATGACCAGCACGAGGACGACGATGGTCGGGGCGAGGGTGACGGATAAATAGAAGATGGTGGTGATGTGGCGCTGATGTGTATCGTTGCTATCCTGCCGCCTAGCTAGAATGTCATAGAATGGTGTCATGTTAGGCGGGATAGTGGATTGAGTGGTTTTGCTCGGATGGAAATGAAGGAGGAAATGAAGTAACTGACCTCGATTGATGTATGTATGGCTGATTGGTTTGTATAATGTGATGTTGATGGAGTTGAGTCGATGCGTAGAAGTGAAGCTCGAAGCTGGACGGGCACTTCCTTTATAGACCTCATGTCTCGGCCCGGAATGCATTGAATGGGCGCTTCAACAAAGAACAATGAACTATAATGTCATTGTTTAGGGGAGAAGCAGTGAGATTGTTCCCAGAGAAACCGAGAAGAAGAAACAAAGCAGAGCACTTAATCCGATGGACAATGGACGCATACAAAAAATGGCTGTTCCGTGAGGAAGTAGCCAAAGAGTCCATCAAAGAGTGAAGGGTAGAAGTGCGATCCAGTGGGTCGAACAAGCCAAGCAGCCTCTGTGTTCTTTGACGATAGTCCATCAGACTTTTCAATCCCATCCGTTGTGCGAGCATGTCCGCAAAATGGGGCGTTCAATCACCTCCTCCCGGTCCAGCCTTTCCTAGATCTCTGCGTACCCGCCAAACCCTGGACCCTACCGGCCTCTTCTCGTTTCCCCGTAGCTCTTCGACCCACGGCGTCCCAGTAAAATCACCTGCATCCTCCAGGTTTTCAGGCTCATCAGCCGAATCGTCACTGTCCGTGTCGCCCTCCGCGATTTCCACAGTGCCCTCTTCGTTGGCACCCTCGGTGAACGATCGTGCGTAGGCGTCCTCCGTGTACGCCCACCCCGGCGTGTCGAATTTCCCGTGGACGAGAACGAGGTGGTGTCCGTTACTCCTGCTCTCCTCGATGAGAGACAGCGGTACGGGCGTCAGGACCTGCAGTGAGCGGCTTGCGACGTCGATGCCCCGAAGGAGGACGAGCCCCAGGCTGCGAGAATAGCGCGGATCCAGGCTCCGGGAGTCGGGGTTCGGGATGAATGGGATTCCCTCTGGTGTCCTTGCGAGTTGTGTTTCGAGAGCTGCGGTTAGAGCTAGCCTCTTGCCTTCGTCATCCTCGTCATCCTCGTCAACATCCATGGCGCCGTCGCTGGATGATGGAGGAGGTCCCTGGATGGTGTGGAAGAGATCTCGGAATGCCTTGGCATCTTCGATCTCGACGATGGCGAGGATGGAGCCGTTGACGGTCTCGGCTAACAGCCCTGCAGGCGGTTGAAGTTCGTAGCTCAGAATGCCCAGGATCCCCGGACTCTCCCCGGAGTATCGCACTTGGAGAGGAGGCATGGCGGTTAAGGGTTCGGGAGTCCATGAAACGTCTCCTGAGCGAGACCGAACCGAGTGGAAGTAGGTCATGGCCTGCATGGCCCGTAGGTGCAGCGCTGTCCTGGTAGTAAATTCAGATTGCTGCGACGGGAGCGTCACGAAGGCATTCTTCGCCGTCCCCTTGAGGGCCTCAACCGTCTCACTAGGACCGTCCTCTGACATGTAGATAACGTCGGTGGGGGCGAGCTTGGATACCAATTCCGTCAACAAGTCGAGACCCGTTCCAAAGACCCAGCCAGGGGTGTTAATAATCAAGGGGCGGCCTCGCAACGCAGATTGTTGGTAATGCCGAAATAAGTCCAGAGCACATTCGATGTAGAGTTCGGGGTCGGACGCGGGGGACACAGAGGCGACAGCGTGCGACCTCAAAACTGTTGCATCGGCCTCCGCTGGAACGGGATGTGTGAAAGGCGGGCTCAGATTGGGCCGCTTCACATGGACAAGACCTATGGTACCTGCTGGATGATACTCGGGTTGTCCTGGGTCCAGGTCGAGGATTGCAACGGCAGGCGACAAGCCTCGTCTGGAGCGTCGTGATGGCGACGTTAGGAGTCGGTTGCAGAGAATCCGACCAAAAGTTGACTTCCCGGATGATTTCGGACCGCATATGAGCACCACGGGGCACTTGCTCTCTTGCCCAGTCACAAGCTCAGCCAGTTTCTTATTCCATGCAGGAGGGGAGACCAGGTCTTGGATAAAGGCTTTCTTAGGTGCATCCTTGGACGTGGAAATCTGATTTCGGATTAGGATACAGAACTGGATAGTGAAGACAAGGGAGAACTTGGCGCAACATACTAGTTGGAATGGCTCAATATGTCGACCGTTTCGAGCCGCAGCGGGTGATTCGTTCCATAGACCTCTGAACAAGGGAGACAACTTCTCCAGCCCACGTAGCTCCGCGGCATTGGGATGAGGATGCAGTTCGAGACTGGTCTCGTCAGAGCAACGTAGGACGGGTATAGCGTAGCTGTGGGAAGCGTGTATCCAGGCGATGGACTCCGACGGCCGTAGGAGAGCCCCGGCAACCGTCACCTCGCCGTTGATAACACGAACGCCAAAACTCCCTAAAACAACGAATCGCTAGAATGCAAAGGTTAAGATAGATGCTTTGAGGCAGCGGGAAGAGAGGGAGAAGACGGCTGGTACCTCGCTCTCGACCAGTTTTAGTCGAAGAATGCCTCCTGACAGTTTCCGAGAGTTCTGCTTGGTGAGCTTGAATGTAGAGAATGGTTGCACCGCTGGGGCATCTGCTGATACTGATGTCACAGACGAATCCAATACACTATGACAACAGTGAGCAAGATCTTTCGGCGGCGCCGGGATGACGGGCTCCTACCTCTGGGCTGTAGCAGAATCCCGAGGAACTGGGCTGGGGTCAAGAGGAAGCCTCGCCGCGCCATTCCCTGACTTTACTGTCTCAGAACCGCTAGATGCTACAGGCTTAGACCCCGCAGGTCTGGAGGAACCCTTGGTGGCCGTCGATTTCCGTCCATTGGCTTTGACGGCAACAGCAGCGGGTTCCGACTCGGCAGGTGCAACATCTGGGCTAGGAACTGGAATAACTTGGGGAGATTTGGGCGATCCGAAAGCAGAGTTGGCCCCAGATGGGAGTTGACGTCTTAGAGCAAAAGCACTCATAGCTATGGGGAGGTCAGATTGTATACAACGGTCGTCTTCTTTCGTTTCGCTTGTCTTCCTAAAGGGGTCTGTCTGTAAGGCTGCCATATACGTACGCTGGGTATCTCCCGTCTCAATTTTGCGCCGCTTAGGAGAGGCCATGATAAAGAGTTCGGTGAAGCAAAGTAATAGACCCGGCCCCTAGTAATATCGTGTTGATTGGGTTGGTATGGGGTAAATCCAGGGACCATGGGCGTCATGAAAGTGCCATTCCGAGGATTTTTGTCGATGAGAGAGCCCTGTGCAAGACGCTGTCGAATATCCATGTGTGAGACCAGCTTGGGCGCGTAGAAAAGTCTGAGATATCCTACATACCTCTTACTTCATATAGAATGGTACATGCTTACAAGTACATATGTGGGGCACCCACGCGACTGTCCCAGTCACGGTTTCTGCCTGCCTTCCAATTATTTGGTGTGTAAAGGTACCTGTACCTTAGACTCGAGTGCTCCGTACGTGTACCTTCCACCAATCGCTGGGGTTTTTGGTCAGTGCCATCCTTGACCCCCAACCTCCATGTCCCGCGTCGGTACCTTCTCGATTTTTTTTCTTCTCTGTACGAATTCCGCGGGTCGCGAATCTTGAAGCTCAAGCCGATAGGACGCGAATTCAACTTCCTCCCCAAGCTCAACCACTGCTCTATCCATCCTCTAAAACCCCCGGCTACGCAATTGAACACGAAATATCGTCCTTTGCAAAAGCGCACGATCGGAACTCCAATCGTATAGACGCCAAGTCATGGCGACCCGGCGCGTCCTCGATGGCGTCGCCTCCTTGAGCAGCATGGTGCACAAGTTCCAGGGAGGCGATGATTTCGCCAGTACTCCATCCAGAGAACAGGCCAAAGCTAAAGCGGCCAAGAGAGAGGCCGCTTTCGACGCTCGTAAAGACGACGATTCGTCGTCATCGGAAAGCAAAAGTGACAGTGAAGATGACGCGCCCGTTGATCCGGCCTTCTTCGACCGCCTTAACGGCAACTTGAAGCCTTCGACCCCCACCATTGCCCGGCGCGCAGGCATCACCCCGTCCAAGCGCAACCCTCGCAGCAAGGATGACGAGGTCGCCGACAGTGACGCCGAACGCGACAAGAAGAAGAACAATGATAGCAAGAAGGGGCCCGACAAGTTCGCCAAGTCCAATGAGCGTGTCACTGCATCTGATGACGAGACTTCTGAAGATTCTTCTTCCGACTCGAGCGATAGTGAAAGTGAAAGCGAATCGCCCACCAAGAAGGCAACGACTAAGGAAGCAGAGGAGTCGTCATCCTCGTCTAGCGAGTCGGAGAGCGGTTCCGAAAGCGATTCGGAGGGTGATTCGGAGAGCGAAACAGATAGTGAAGAGGACGCAGACTCGAAACGCATGGCCAAGTCTCTGATGAACGGCAAGAAATCTGCTGCTGCTCCTCCTGCTGCTCCTGTTGCTGCCAAACCATCGGCTTCGACCTCAACTTCGACCTCTGCTACTACCTCCACCTCCACCTCCGATAGCACTAGCGATAGTGACGAAAGTGAGGAGGAGGCCCCGCCGGCATCACAGAAGAAGGTCGCCAGCACTTCCGCGAAGACGAAGACTCCACAAAGCAGCGGCAAGGAGCGCCGGAAGGACCAGGCCCCTGAATCTGACCACGAGGAGACCGACGAGGCACTTGCTGTGGTTGAGTCGCGCGATGAAACACGTCTTCGTGCCCCAGGTTTCGAGGGAAAAGACTTCGTACTCCGGGCCGTGCAAGGGGACGAGGATGGCAAGGATGTCACCGAATTCTTCAACCGTGCGAGAATGGAAGGCAAACAGCTCTGGTACTTCACCGCGCCAGCTTCGATTCCCATCAACGTCATCGAGAAGATCGAAATCCCCATGGACAAGGCGCGGAATGGAGACCCCGTCCTGGAGCACGATGGCGCCTCTTACGGCGTCAATCTATCAGACAATGCGAACGCGACCTACCAGGTTCTCATTCCCAACAAAAAGGGCACGCGATACGAAGCTGGTATGAAAGTCCAAACCCCTCCTTTCTCCCAGAGACTAGAAGAACCTCGTTTTAACAATCCTCCTAGTATCCCACAACGTGGACCAGGTCATGCAATTCAAGCGCATCATTCAGATCCCCGGCCCAGAGGATGCCACAGCCGCCCCGCTACCTTTGCCCCCGAGTCGAAAACCCCGCCCGCAGCCCAAAGGTCTCCAGGCTCGCTATCGCCCCATTGGTGTGCCTCCTGGCGAGTCCATGGGGACCCTAGGATCTGATTCTGATGCGGAGCAAGAGGATATCGAGATGGCTCAGGCCCCTCCCCTGCCTTCTCCGACCAAGGAATCGAAGAAGGACTCGGAGAAGAGCAAGAAGAGGCGACGTGATAATGGCGAGGCACCGGCATCTAACGGGGAGGTTGTGTCCACGCCCATTCGAAAGGACTCGGCAGCAGTCCCTAGCGCTTCGACCAAGAAACCCTCCAAGCGCAAGCTCGCAGACGACGAAGACGAAGAGGCTGTATCGGCTCAGCTGATCAAGGAAGGTCTTTCTGCCGAGAAGAAGCAAAAGAAGAGACAGAAGCGCGTGCGGGATGGCGAAGATGCGCCGCCTCCATCCGCCAGCAAGTCGACGCCCGTTCTGCCTCCCACAGTGCCTTCCTCGATGAAGAAGAGCGCCGTCGTTCACACCACCGAGGGGAGCCCGACGCCCCAGGCGGAGGCGGCCCCGTCCACGAAATCGAAGAAGAGCAAGAGGGTCTCGTTCAGTGCCGATGCCACTCTCGCCACTACCGCCGACGCTCCCAAGGAAAGTCCCGTTCCCCTTCCCGTGAACGGACGCCAACAATCCGCGGTGCCTGTGCCTCAAATACCGCACGTCAAGCGCTCCTCTCCATTAGCGACCGAATCTACTCCAAAGCCATCGAAGAAGAAGAGGAGCAAGGAAGGCGGTGCCGCGCCGTCTTCTTCGCAGAGCTCGATCCCACCCGCGAAGCAGACGCCCATTTTGCCCCCCACAGTAAGACGAATGAAGAAATAGAGCTACTCCACTCGCCGAGGGGAGAGTGCAAATCGGATGATCGATGTTGTGTGTGCATTTATTTTTATGTTGGCTTCTGCTTTGCTGTTAACACAATGGGACATGGCAATTCTCTGCAGAGTGGTATATGCACGCCTGCTTCCTTTGTGCTGATTTGCTCTGAGTTGCTTTCCCCCTCCCTGTGCCTTTTCTCTTCTTCTTTTTCGTTTTGTTTCTGCTCTCTGCAAAAATCGGGTTGGTGGGTTGGGACCAGGGCGTTTGGGATATGACATTGAGGGAGACACCGAATTTTCGCATCGCGTGCTGGACGAGACGAGATAGCTCCGGATGAGCTCTGCTTCTACAGTCGAGATAGCATGAGCTGGCGGAGAGGAGCAGGCGAAGCCAAACCCAGTGCTCTTCCGGTCAACAGGTTATAGGGCAGGACCAGAGGAGGGAATGCGTGTAGCTAACTAATGCAGAGAATCCTTGACTTGTAAAGTCTTGGAAAGTAATTGAGAAGGATCAAAGGCTATCCATACGGAGCAAACGCGAGTAGGGTGCATCTTCTGACAGGCGCCTCTAACCAGGCTCTAGTTCTAATTCTACCTCGTATATGTCTGAACTTCACGCGCGCGAGAGAGAAGAGAGAGAAAGAAGACGCGTTTAGCCTCGGAGGAGTATCTTCCTGGATTTCTCCTCACCTTCATCTAGTCCAAGATCATTCCATTTCCTAGGTCTCTGATTCCCTTCTCGGCGTTCCTCGCTATCTGACCTTCGAATCATTATACCTCAGATATTCGATCACTCCCTTGGTTCCTCGAGACTTCAGAATTCTGCGTCCAGTTTGGAGTTGTGAATACCAATGGCAATCTTCCGCTGGATAATGGGGACGGAGCCGACTCGGCAGTCGCCGGCTCCAATTTCATTTCCCTGGTCCCCCCGGCTGCCGACATTTATGCGCGAACTTCAACCATTTGCACAACTTGCGGGCTTAGACGAGAGCGACTTGATTACTTCTTTTTGTCTTCCGCACTTCGATAACTCATTTGCTGTTCAGTAGCGACTGCCCTATTTTCAGCCCTTGGCGTTTATACCCGGCCTCCTCATTACATCCGCGTCCTGCTCTCCACGTAACAGGGCGCACGTTAAGGGACGTCTTCCATTCCCGCCACCCGCCCGGCACAACAGCGTGTGCTGCTGCGCTGGTTCCTCCGAGAAATGGCGCCGTCCCATATCATACATTACGTATATCGTCTAGGTGCGTCCCATCACCGATGTGTACCCCCCTAACCCCCCTAACCCCCCCAGGGGTGTGGTTATTCCCCATCTGTACAGCCCCGACACCAATTAGAGGGAGGGTTCCGTCGTACAAGGGGTTGGGATCGTGAGAGCAAAGCAGCTGTTTCCCATTCATTCGTGTCCCCCTTCGCTGGAAATGCTTTCCGATTGACCGTTAACGAACCAAAACTGGCTAAAAAAAAAACCCCCCCACGATGACGCCGTTGCTGTGCAAAGAAAATGCCCAAGTCCAAGACGCGATATTGGCGAAAACCAGAAAACGCGACTTCGTTCAAAATTAGAGAAGAAAAAAATATGAGCGGAGAAACCATGCGGGGTATCGAGGGCCAGACACCGGGAATTTTCGATGGGTGCGATCGCATGTCGGAAGAGGAGCAAGTCGCCCGAGAAAGGGGGAGTGAAGAACCCCCGTCTCGTGCAAAGATGGACAATTCAGCAGAACCACATTGGCAAAAACCTCTGGTCGTCCACTACCGGATCACGACCACTTCGCTCAAGTCGCCTTCTCGTGGTGGCACGCCACCTTCCCACACCTGGCCATGGGGCGTCATTTCGACCACCGAGAGAGCACCTTGCTGGTTCAGTTCGTCGAGAATAGCAGGGCTTATCATTCCGCTACCGCTACCGCTGCCGCTGCCGCTCCCGCTGCTGCTCGAGGCTGTCCTGAAACTGGAGGAGCTGCCGATGGTCCATTCGTCGCTGTCGGCGGATTGTTTCCGCTGCATCAGATCAAGCCCGTACCGGCCGCCCAGCTCTTCGTCCAGAACCGTCCTCTGCTTGCCGACCTCCACGTAATCGTACTCCCACCTGGTCGCCTTGTCCGGCTGCTGCTGCGGCAGGTAGCGAGCCTTGGAGACGTAGAAGAAGGCCGCGGACAGCAGGGCGCCCCCGACGAGATCGACCGCGTAGTGATGGTTCAGGTACATGGTGGCCCACCAAACCCAGATGACATACGTGGCGAGGAAGGGCCGGAGCCTCGGGAAAAAGTACGACATGAAGAGGGCTTCCAGGACCGCATCCGCCGAATGAAGCGAAGGGAAGGCGCCGAAGGGGACCGGTGCCGTGGTAAAGCTCGTCGTGTACATATCCACGCCTAGGATCTCGTCGATGCGTGCGAGGCCGGCAGGGGAGCCCTGCATGCCGTAGGCAGCCGGGGCGAGTCCGTGCTCGTTCTCGTACCAGGGCGGCGTGCAGGGGAAGACGAGCTGCAGCGTGACGCCCAGGGCATTCAGCCAACCGAACGCCTTGGCGAAAACGGGCAGAGACTTCGGCGCAGCGAAAAAGAAGATGACCAGCGAACAGATGGCGGGCGCGGCGAAGTGGCCCAGGCCGTAAGGGATCCAGGCTATTATGTCGAGGACGGGGTGGGTATGGGCGGAGAGGATGTTGGACAGGTTCGCGCCGTACAGGACGTTCTCGAGCGCGGGAAGTACGCGGACCCAGATGTGCGGTCGATACTTGGCGTCAATGAAGCTGTGGACACGGTTGTGAGCTGATATGTCGAAGTGGACACAAAAGAAACTACAGCCCAGGAGAGAGGGCGAGGCTACAAACTCACCGACTGCAGAAGAAGTACAGGAGATATGTCCATATGGGCATGGACGGGAGAAAGAACTGGCTTGTCGCGGGCATCAAGAGGACCATGACGATGGCGAACACGACGAGAGTCTTGATCAGTGGCGCAGATGGGGTTATAGCAAGGGAGAAGAGCGTCAGAGCGGCGAGGGCAAAGTATTGAATGTCCATAAGGCGCCATTTGTGTTTCCTCAACTGGCGCAAGGTGGGAACAGGGTTGAAAGAGGTCTGAAGCGCGGTGACATCGTTGGCTCCTGGGGGAAAGTAGGGCGAAGAGCGCCTCTTCTGGTGACTCCTACTCCGGCCGGACCGGAATCGCCGGGGAATCGGGTTCAGCTTCGCAAAGTTGATGGTGCCAGGCGATAGCAGGGGAAGCTTCGGTGGCTTCATCTGCCAAAAGGAAGGGAGTTCCTGCATTGTCCGTGGTGGTGGGGGGACCTGCTCCCGTCGATCCGAATCGGTCGTTGATGCGCGTTTGTAGGCGACGAAGGGAGGAGAGGTGAGGCGGCAGAGGGAGCCGCGCAATGGACAACAGCCAGCAGGTATGGCTCTTGAGAAGAGCGAGCCGTCGGATGGGGGGAGAAAAAGACGTGGGCTAGTTGGAAAGATGCAAGGTTAGTTTTGGCCATGGACCCTAGGATAGTATATCGACGCGAAACTAGAACAAAGGGTAGAAAGAGGTCTCATGAAAGAGTCAAAACAAAGAATAAAAGACTGCCCGTTCGACGGAATTCAACGGTGCCGAGCACCGAAGCCGGCGGATCGGAAGCACTCACCAGCCAGACGCAAAAGAAAAGACGCGGGTAAGAGAGAAAAAAAAGAAATGGGAGGCCAAGCGTTGAGGTAATGTAAGGGTTAAGAAGAAAAATCCCAGCCGCCTTTTTCTTCCCGCCGATGCACGACGTTCCCTTCCGGCTGTGCCGTCACCGTTGGTTTATTCTTGATAGGCCGATGAACGGGGTCAGTCGAGAGAGCGGCTAACAACGAGTAAGCGTGTGGGTAGCGGCAGTACAAAGTAGGTACTTCAGGATACTCGGCTCCCCACGGAGATGGGTAGGGTAAAAGTACCACCTACGGAAAACTGATCGCCCTTCTTTTTCTCGACGTCATGTGGCTCTATGAGGTACTTTTACGGCGGGTGAAGATAAAACCACCAACAGTCGCTGCAAAAATGTGGGAAGGGGGGGAACATAGCAGAAGGGGAAGAGAAAGAGGATAAAAGGAAAGGGATGGACGGCATGTTTGTAATAACACACCGTCCAACTCATTCAACGAGCCAAGAGTTATGGCGCCGAAGGGAGGAGAATTGGATGTAGGTACGAAGTGAGTCTCCGGGTTCAAATACGTTGTATCCCACCAGGGTCCATTGGTCACTTACTGCCTTGTACACATGCGCTTCCAGAGACATCCATGGACCCCGGCCAAAGAGTGCGGAAGGAGCGGAGGAACCGTTAGCTGCCAAGTGCCGAGAATCTAACCGCATATAGCGATGCCAAAGTCACCGACTCGCATTATCGACCACTTACCTCCTCCGATGCTGTGCAGCTTACCTAAGGTAACCCTACTCCGCCAAAATGTACACTAGAGAGTACCTGTACCCTGATGTTAGTGTCACTTGTGGTTTTGTTCCAAGCATCATGGCTCGCCTTGGCGGAGCGTTTTGTGTGCCCAACCCCTGATGATCGTCTGTCTTATTTGTCATATCTCGGTGATTATGTGACCCCGAGACTTCCGAGACCCCAGGGACATCTTTTCCCTCCTTTCCTTTTTATCCTCTTCTCTTTTTTCCCCTTGCTGGGTTTTCAGCTCCACCTCCCAACGGAGCAACCCCCCCAACTCACTTTGACCGTCCGATGAGGATGTTCCTCTTTTATTATACTCCCTACTTTACACCATTGCTCACCGACCGGCTCCTCCCATGTCATGCTTCGGGTACGTTGTACGTCACGGCCAGCGAAGGTCGACCTAGTCATGCAGACTATGTACTTCGGCACTGCGCCTACCTTATGCTCGCCATCTCAGTGGCTGCTAAATCTTCAGTGGTCGGATTTGTTACTGTGAGCTGAATGGCCATTGGTTGTGGTCGCTGGGTGTCGGATTTAGCGGAGATCTCCTTGTGCGTTGTCCACGATGGAACCGAGCCCGCAAAAGTGGCTGCCTGGGAAATCCGAGTCACGGAATCCCGAAAGTCACCACACAGAGTGACCGGCTTGTGTGTACGCCCGCTTCTACGAAGTATTTGTCATCCATCACAATACCCCCTGCTGATGCCGTCGGACATGCAAATGTGTGATGAATGACAGAGGTGGGAACATACCACCAACCAGCTCAGTGTTCTGTTCCTACAGGATTGTTCATCGTTTCTTGTATCTGCCCGTCCTACCTCAAGCGACACTTCGCTCTTGCTCGCGTGCCCCTCCTTCACATCCTAGCAAGTCTTGTTTTAATTTCCCCCACTCCGCGCCAAGAGAGCGTGAGTCCGATGGGCATCGGTTGGCTTTTTTCTCTTTCTTTCTGGCAAGCGCCAAGAGTCGACCGGGGCCACCCGAGGGTACCCCCTGGTCGTGGCCTGAGCTCCATTCCCCTTTGCCTCTCTGCCCAATAGAGTCCCCTTCTCTCGGCTCGGCGCCGAGACATCGGCGCCGTTGGCCCGGAAAGGGATATAGAAAAGAAAAGAAGAAAAAAAGAAAAAAAAGGAAGTAAAGAAAAAAAGAAATTGGAACAAGAAAAGGGAAAAATTGTTGCGCCCACACGCTTCATTTCGGTGAAACGCTGGGCATCGCCCCAAGCCCACTATCAAGCCCAACACTCTCGTTCGCATTCGGTTGCTTCGTACTTCGTAATATGGATACTCCTGCTCGGTATAGCGATCTACACTGCCTATGCGAGATGTAGGGACTTATGCATGATCTCCAGGGACTTTCCTGATTCTCTGTTGACCAATCTGTTGGTACTTCGTAGGTAAGAGGGATGGAGAACCATGTGCGTGAACTCGATAGGTACCTACCTTACCTTACCTTACCTTACCTTACCTTACCTTAGGTAGGTAGATTCATTTCACGGTACGTACTTCGTATGAAGTACCTTAACCAGCCATCCGGTATTAGGTACCTAGGTCGCGGTATCCTAAAGGCCGAAATTATTGTTGTTAGTGACGATCGCCATTTTAATCTCTTTCAGTACGGATAGACGACCTCTAACGATGATTATTAGGATGAGAATAGACCTACGTTGTACGAAGTGGAGGAGGGAGAAAGATAAATAGACGTCAAGTACCTAATGACCATGCCGGTTCCAATTACAGTCTTGAAACCCGTTGATCCTCTTTTTATTCGGGCATTTGGCCACTGGACAGAGCACCTTACAAAGCGATACCCAAGCGATACGATGTAGGATCATCATGGAGGCTCACCCGCGTCTTCCCACCAGTTCCTCCTCTTCCTTGGCCCTCGCTCTTCTCAGGTCTCGCCAATATACTTTTCCGTTGTCTTCGGAGCTTTCACATTTGTTTGCGAGGGCATATCACCGATCAACTGCGGGACTTCGCGTGTTCTATCATTCGTCATCTCCCCTCGTTCCCACCTCGTCAGGTATCATCATTCACTATTTCTGGAGAGACTTCGGAAGAACGTCACAGAAGCCCTGGCCCCGTGAAAATGTGACCCAGGCCCAGCCTCCTCGTCTTGGTCTATCAGCATGAAGCTTTCCTGGCCCGTTTGTACCTTCCTAGCTGAGTACTTGAATCAACTCAAATTCGACCTCGAGGCATGCTCCAGCCCGACGCAGTCACATATTTCAACTCAATATATACTTCGTAATGTTGCACCTGAGGGCGTTACTGTTGTAGCAGTGGTCCTTACCGTGACACTCGCATCATATGCCAGTCACCATTGTGGCGCTCCTCATATCCAATAAGAATCGTCCAGAGCGCTCGGAATGACTTACGCCACTTGGTCATGGGATGGTCTGCTCGGTGGATGAGATCTCACCGCCAGTTTGATTCACACGAATATGTTAATGTCACCGCGTAACTAACCTGGCAGCCTTCGTCCTTTCCCTCACCTCCTCGGGTCTCGTCTCAAGAGGGCAAGGTATACCAGCTTCGCGATATTCGGAGAGGCTTCTAGCACGGCTGAGTTGAAATTCACCGATAGTAAGCAGTTATCGCGACAGCTGGCTAACTCGTTTTATGGCTTGATGACTTGCGGAGTTTCGGACGAAAAGTGCAGGAGGTTAACCATCAGGCGCCATGACGCGACCAAGTAAGAAACGGCTGGGCTGTTACTATGAACCCATTCGGAGGCGCAGCACGTTGCTCGGATATACAGACTATTTCCTTTGGGAATCTACTGGGGAGGTAAGGTAAGAGTTGAAGGAACAGCATAAACAGATAGAAGAAACTCTTGGCCTCGCTCGAGGGGCGGATCCGGTTGATTCGTTCGGAAATGTCAGATTATACAGGACTCTCTGCTCTAGGTCCGGGGTAAGCGACATGGTTTTGATCGTGATTTGGGGGAAAGGGGGAGAAGACTATGATGACATAATTACATGCAGTACTATGCTGATGGCATTTCGTAGGTGCCGCGGGATAGCCAGTAACAAGGGTGAGCTTGGTAAGTAAAAGGCACAGGTGAACTCGATACCCAACTTTGAGACAGCATCCGTACATCAACTGGACCTCGGAGACACAATGATTCGACGCCTCGTCCTCCGGAAGTCCCAATGATCCACCCAATGGCACATCAATGAGGAGCGATAGAGCAATTTACATCGATCGGAACAGTTCTCCAGATGAAACACTTTATTAGAGCCACTTCTGAACTGGACTTTCGGGGCTCCCATCCCAGGTCTTGGCTATAATGTGGCAGTCAGTCAGACGGTCCTCTTCGGCCCTGCTTCTTGGAGCTGTGGTTCTTTTTCTGCTGCAAGCGAGTCTTATGAAAAGTCCTTTCTCTACGATCGGCTGTCAGTAGCGATGATCTCTTGGAACCGATGCCCAGACAGGCCTACTTACAACTCAATATACTTCTGCTGCTTAGCTGGCGACGATTCGTTTGGTACTCTCTCCTGGTAGATCCTTTGTACCTCTTCAACCAGCTTACGGAAATTCTCATCCGTGTTGGCACTTCTCTGCCGATGGGTCTGGTCTTGGATTGTTAAACAATCCGTCCTAGCCGTGTAATATTTGGATGCCCGGACGCCGGGGTGGAGCAGCTTCGGTAGGACAGCGATCAAGTCTTTGACGGGCCATGTGGTGATGGCCTTGGTTTCGGTCCTGCATTCATGAGCTATATGTCCCCAAATCGCCTGGCAAACGTAACATACTTGTTGACATGTTGGCCTCCCGGACCACTGGAGCGCGCGAAACTGGTCTGGCCCTTGGGCAACCGAGTTTCGTCGAACGCTTGATGCCAGGCTCTGGCCTCCCGGAGTTCATCCGCGTCAAATGATGTATCGAAAGCTTGAAAACGAGCGGAGCGGATAAATGCCAGCGGCGGCTGCACTGCTGTACCTCCTAGTCGAAACAACGTCCATAGTGATGCTCGGGCCGTCAACCTGAGTGTCATGTCCGCAAGCCGATGCTCATGGCACTCGAGATGAGACAGACCGTGTACTATTCCGTAATGTCCGTTGGAATGTTCCAGCCCTGGTTCTTCAAGACGTTAAACTCAAGTGGCTTCTGCATAGAGCTGTTAAATCATTAATTATGGGTCGAGATGGACATGCTGCTTAGAGCAAGCAATTCAAGAAGGGTTATCGGAAATGAGTTTTGGAACCCTCCGAATTACCAAATGGCTCAAAATGGGCATCGAATCTTCTTTCTTCCGTATTTGAAGATTGGACGCAGTCTCTGTCAATAATGGGCTATCAACCTCTTGAGTTGCGTATGGCACGCTGTAAACCCCAAGTAGGAAAGAAGTAAGAACACTGGGAGATGAAGCTATGTATCCGTGGGTATCCGTAACTAATTACGGAGTACCTAGTTACCTGAAGTCGCCGGGAGAGGCTTAAAGTATAAATGGGTCTAACTCCATATCTGGTTAGCGTAATCGCGTGGTTATCGTGCTTCGGAGTTCTCGACTTCCATTTTTTTTTTCTTTTAGGCCCGCCAGCGTCACCCCCCCTCGTTGAGCTCCTTCCTTCCCAGTACCGCGATTTTGTTATGCTGCTGGTCCTTCTTTCCCATCTCCATCTCCATCTCTTGCACACCCGCCTCAACACTTTCTGCAACTACATGCAATCCGGAGCATTTCCAAAGACCTGACCACTTTCCACTCCGAGGGCTGATCTGATTCTGCTGGTACTCTGTCCATTTCAGCTGAGGCTACTCAAATTTGTGTGCAATAGCAGTCCTCAGATTGGCAACCAGGAAAGAATCATCTCACCACCCCTCTTGACCTGACCCCAGGCAAAGCAATTACAGACTGCACAGTCCATTACCACCTTCATGACAATTTTTGCAGTGAGCCTGACGCCTGTTTACTTTGTCTAGGAGCATACTCCTGTGTTGCCTGTTCGGAATCCAATGAACCGTATCGCAAACCCACTTGCGCGTCAACATTTGCAAATAGGTTTGCACTATCCTTCCACCATTTTCTTTTTCCCATCCAATATTTCCAGAATTTCGACAAGCCAACAAACTGCCTGCAAGTGCTTTCCTTAAAACGGGTGTTCTTTGCCCGCACTTCAGTCATCCCAGCTCTTCATGCCCGCAGCCAGCTCCACCCCCCCAATTCAGGCCACCGCCGACCTTTCGCCCTTAGCTCCGTCCCCTCTGCATTCCGTTGCCACCGCTGTTCTCCCAGCCCTCCAGGACACCGCCGACTTTCTCGATGCCATGACGGAGATGCCCGCAGAACACGAACTTCAGAGCACTGGTCCCGGCGCTGGTGCACCGAGCCAGGACCCACCTGCTGAGTACGACCCATCCGTTGGTTTAGTCGTTATGGGGAGCACAGCAGACGACGGTGGCGGTGCTGGTGCCGACAACGAAAGCAACATCGATATTGACAGCCTGGACGATGCTTATGAAGAGAAAAAAGAACCCGGTCAAGCCGTCGAGGTTCAGCCGGAGGAGCCCGATGCTGGCGAAGATGAATACCTCAAGTCCTTCGACTCGCCCGCTCAAGATATACAGGACGATAGTTCAACGAAGGATGATGTATCCCATGCGCGAGAGTCCATTCCACGTCAACTGTCGCCTGAGGCGTCCCAAAGCGCTCAAGCGGTCCCTAAACCTGTTATTGAATCCACTCCGGCCCAGCCCAGTGTCACGACCCAGTCGCCCGGTGACGGTCACCCCGTCGCCAACCCGCAAGTCGCCGGTCAGTCAGGTGTTGAGTTCAACCAGACGCAGCGTGGAGACCAGGTTCCTCCCGTAACTAATGGCCAGTCGAGTTCCGGTGATGCGCATGCCGATGACATTTCTCGTCTCGTGGCCGAGATGACGGGCCAGACCACAAGTCCCAACAGCCATTCGGAACCCGGACCCTCTTCCCAGAACCAGGAGTCGTCCACCCATGTCCCGCAGATGCCCGCAACTTCCGCGTCCTCTTTACCCCCGAGACCTCCCATGCCCCAAGAGGCAGCCTTTAGTTCTGCTCATGCTTTTGCTCCTCGCCCTGCTCCTGTTTCCTCACACTCCGAAGAGTCCCGCGCGTTCCAGCTTCCCACTGTTGCGTCCATCCCTGCTTCTACTTCCCCCACGTCTAGCGTGCATCCCCCGTCCGTTGCCTCGTTGACTCCCAGCCAACCCTCCACGTATGTGGCCGCCGGGGCGCCTGGTACCTATACCAAGGCTGAGGACCTCCCGCCTCCTCCTCTTGCTCCTATCAACTCTTCGACAGGGCCTTCTTACTCCGACCTTACTGGCGTCTCAGCCAGTCGGCCTGATGATGATGATGCCGCTAACCGTGAGAGGCTCTGGAGTCTCTTCAACGAAGACGAACGGCGTTATATGAGCGAAGGAAGATGGGATAGGTTTCCGGAAGGTTCCCGGATCTTTATCGGTAAGCAGGCCCCGGAATCTTTTTGCGCCCACGCATACGCCGATTAACATTTCGTCCAGGAAACCTCTCCAGCGAACGTGTTTCAAAGCGGGACGTTTTTGATATCTTCTACCGATTTGGTCGGCTTGCCCAGATTTCTCTCAAATCTGCCTATGGCTTTGTTCAATACCACAACGCCGAGGACGCCCAAGCTGTCATGCAAAACCTACAAGGCATCGAGATAAAAGGCCGTAAAATTCGTAAGTGATAGTTTTGCAGATGTGCCCCCCCTCCCCCCCGCGAACTGCGATTCGACAGAAGTATCTTGCTAACAAAGACGGAAGATTTGGAGATTTCGCGAACGCAGAAGAAAAAAGGCGACGATGGCAGGCGTGACGCTGGGCAGAGATCTGGCGATCGCTCTGACGCAAGCCAACCTCGTCGGCAGCGCGATGACCATCGTCATCAGGGGCGTGGGGCTTCGCCTCGTCGCAACAGAGGTGATAAGTACGGACGCGAACGGGACTACTACGAGCCCTCGCACAACCAGCACCGAGGCCGCTCGCGATCGCCGCCAGCTTACGGACGGCAGCAAGACGCGTATCGGCAGCGCAGCCCGAGTCCCGCGCACGGCTTTGACGACCGACTCGAGATCCCTCGCAGATACGGCGACCAAGTGCCCGACGTCCAATTCCTGCTCCTCCAAGAGGTTGGACGCGACTTCGTCGACTGGGTGCAACGTGCGTTTCTGGATAGAGGCCTGAAAGTGGACGTGATGTTTCTGAACCCAGGTTTTCCTCGAGCGGCGGTGCTCCAAAGACAGGTCGCGGAGGGAGTCCATGGCATCGTGGAGCTTGACATCCGCGCCCACAGTTACGGAAAGATCCCCCTTCAAGTGTTCGACCGATCTTCCGGCCTGAGCGCTCGGTTTGACGAATACCAGGATCTCGATCCGCCTATCGCCGCCGAGCTCGTCCTGCGCGCAAAGACTCAAGCTCGCCAGGCACAGACTTACAATAATAGCCACTATCCTCCGCAGCCAGCGTACGCGGCCGGCGGCTATCCGTATCAGCAGCCCCCGCAACCACAGTACGGACAACATCCACCCCCGCAGGCCTCACCACACGTGGCGTCGTTCCCCACGGTCCAGAGATCGCAGGGCCCACAGGCACCACCCGTTATCCCGCCCAGCCAAAACCCTGTCGATCTTGTGGGTCTTCTAGGCCAGTACGATAACGCCGGATTACAGCAGCTACTGGGGTCTACTATGCAACATCAACAACAAAACGGTGTCGCAAGCCAACCAGCACGTGGAATCGGCGCAGCTCCGCAAGCGGGCTCACAACTGGACATTCAGGCGCTTTTAGCCAGCCTCAATGGTAGCTCGGCGGCGATGGCACAGCCTGCTCATTACGGAGGACAGGCATATCCTTCTCCCGCTTCTAGACCGCCCGTCAGCAGCGGCCACCCAGGCCATCATCTCCATGAGATGAACGGAGGTTCATCGCCAGACTCGGCCTCGCAGGTCCATACAATCATGGCACAACTGGCTAAGTTCCGGCAGCCATGAGCTGCCCACGGTTTTCGATGGATGGGCGACAAACATCTTGCCATTTGTTGGGGGGCGATTCCGTATATGTATTATTAGCGGCAGCAATGTTCGGGTGAGGGACACATCGCAAAAGTTCAA